GCCGGCAACTGTGGGGATGGAGGAAGTGGTGAATGCTCTTGGTATCTGATGTGTGAAAAATGCAGGGAGAAATACATGAAAGAGAAGAGACCGTCAAAAGACAAAGGCCGGAAAGGTAGACGGAAGAGCATACCTGTATCTACATCCTCGTCCAAGCAGCAGAATCTTTTGTCTCCCATGGAAGCTCATCATATTCTGAAGAACAATGCTCAGTTCCTTTTAGAACTGGCAAGTGCAACTGATCGGGCTTTACCCAAGTACTCAAAGACCCGTCCGCTATCTTTGACCAGGGGTGAGATGTACTTACCAAGTGTGAGTGAGATTGGAGCCGACCCCGAGCCGTTTCCTCCAGTACCATTCCAGTATCTGAACCTGCACAACGCCGGCAATTCCGACTCGGCTTTTGCCGATGACTTTTTTGTTGATGAAGAGGAAAGAGTGTTTGTGAGGTCGGGGTCCATGAGCATCACTTCGCAGCACCGGATAAATGTGCCGTCACAGAGACCGCGGCTTCCAACAGAACCCAGACACAGCCCACTGGCGAGATCAGGGTCACTTGGCCAGGAAACGAGGCCATTTTCTCAGCTGCTACCTCCGCTGAAAGTAAGTGCTCTTTTTTTCTCTGTTATCAAAATGTGATCCTCTTGACACGTTTTTTTTAAAGGAAATTAATATACAAGGGGAGGTCATTAGGTTAGTCACAAATAGTTGTTTTAAAAAAATTAATAAAACAAGTACAGACGATAACAACTTGAAAACCTTTTATTGTTTACACACACCCTGTCCCTTTATTTTTCAACATAATTTCCCCCCAAAATTGATGGCTTCCCAAACCTTCTGCATAGAACTGCATGCTCTGTTTTCTAAACCACATTTTCATTTTACATTTTGCTTCTGTGTCATTCGCTTTGATTTGGACTAGTAGTGTTGCACCTATAATTCATCCCCAGTAATAATGCTGTTCAGCATGTCTTCTCCTTCATCTGCCTATCGACAGAGATGCTGCAAGAGCAGGCCTAATCGGTTCATTTTGTGTTCGTCCATCATTGTCTGGGTACCCAACTTGAGCACAGTGTCTTAAATTTTAATCGATCATGAATTATGTTGTAAGCTGAATCATGTGAGCACTCTATTGCAGTTGCTACAGAGACAACCGTTACTCACCTGTTATCTCTAATCATCTCCTCCACTCGCTGCACGGATGAGTCTGTTGCAAATCTCAACAGGATAATCAGATCAGACTTCATCAACAATTTTAGAGCCATCTTGAGAAACATTTTTTACTCAGCTATGCAATGCTTTACGGGATAAACATTTGTTAGCATAAACAGGAAGCATTTCCTTATCTTTTTCTTTCTTCTTCTTTGCATTCACCAGCTGTACACTCTGGCAGAAAGTTCTGGTTGTTCGTCTACTTCTGGACTGCAGTCCTGCTCCAGTACCCGAGTGTTGTGTGTGCATCAGTTTTACAGATCTGATTCACTTGAATGCAGACTGTTGGTTCCTTGCCTCTCATTCAGATGCACTCCGACTTTAAAGGAAGCTCCCAATTAGTCGACTCTTACGACATGCTTTTGGGGAGGCAGTGGGTCTATTCTTGTTTTCCCCATAATGGGGTCCCGGAACCCACACGGGGAACATTTCCTTATGAATGTCCTTTGCAGGCAGCCCTTTTGCCCCCCCCCCCCCCCCCCCCCCCCCCCCCCCCAGGTCCTGATGGAGCCGGACTTTTTTTAAAAATGACCTTGTCTTCCAGGTCGACCCAGCCTTAAATGGGTACCAGGCACATTCCTGAGAAGTAAAGGTGGTCGGCACGATGCTGACCACACCACCCATCAAGTGCCACTCAGTCTATTAAAAATTAGGTCTAGCCCTATATTTCCTAGGTGTGGAAAAGGGTTCTATGCTTTGCTTACTTCCCAATTCCTCTTCTTCTGTGCATGTTCTTTTTACTGCTTTTCTATTGTTTTTCTTCATTATTGTCATCATCACCTTCTTGTTTGCTGCTTCTTCTTCTGTTTTTTTTTTCACATTCTGTTCATCTTTTTTCTGATCTTCTCTTTCTCTGTTTTTCTACACTTCATCATTTACTTCTGTTTTATATATTCATAACTAGTGAATAACCGCAACTAATGCAATGATTGCTTTAAGGATAATTGCATGCAAATGTTGCCCTCTTCAGCATGAAAACACCAGAGCGATTTTGGAAAAACAGCCGATGACAAAAAGTGCAGGGACAAGCCCAGAAAATGAGCAGGACAGCCACAAGAAAGCTTTCCATCGGAGCATATCAGAGTACGTCACAGAGAACGACAGTGACGACAACGAGTTTGTCTTCTCCAGAGCTGTATCAGTGTCCGCCAGACGGAGAAATAACAGTGGCAGTGTGTCAGGTGAGCTGTGCCAGTTAATGTGTGCAGTCTTTGGCTGTTTCTAATGCAAGTATTTGGCAATTTCAGTCAGGTATTAGTAAGTAAGTAAAGATCCCTTGTCACACCTTAAGGCGCATCGGGTATATGGGAAGAGCAGCCATATGTTTTAAGACCATCGGCACTAGGTGGGTAATGTCAGTAAGGTATTATTTTCAAAAATAGTGAAGGGCACTTTTCCACGCCTTAGGCGTATTGGGTATATAGGGCTAGACCAATCTGCACTCAGTGAATGATATGGCCAACTTTACTTCCCAGGACTTTACCCAGTACCCATTTAAGGCTGGTTCAACCTGGTAGCCAAGGTCATATTTGCTATCTATGTTTTTGTTTTTACTTCTTCTTCTTCTTCACTTCCTCTTTTACTGCTTCTGGTGTTAAGAGAGAGATATCAAGTTTCGTTTCTTGCTCTTCTGGCCGCCTCCACCATAGACATGTCGTGCGGTTGCAGAGTTTCTTTGATGTTATCTTTCCATCTTGTTCTTGGTCTACCTCGTGCTCTTCATGCTTCTACTCTTTTAATATGTGCCTTGTATGGTGTGGCATCACAAGGCATTATAACATACATCATGTGTGTGTTGTGTATGAACATAACATGCTTTATAAATCAAATGCAATTGCTCTGTGAAAAATGAGTGTTTAAGAGGGCTGAACCAGTTTGTGATCCTTTGAAAATAAAGTTTCTTTACTCATTCATTCATTAAAGGTCTTTATTGTTCCAGTGTATTTAGTGTAAAATAGATTCAACAAATGGGAAGTAACTGCTGCTGACAGGATATGCCACAGATCACTACTGAGTGCTGATTGATCAGTACAAAAATTGGGCCAGCACCAGGTACCTCAGGTTATTGATAATGTCCTTTCTGTGGCCAAACCCTTGCATCATGTAAAAAAAATAACTTTTGTTTTGATCGCTCTCTTATTTACACTGTCAGACGAGTTCTTGTGAGCTACTACTTCGCGTTCACCGGATGTAAACTCCGGCAGAAAGTTCTGGTTGTTCGTCTACCTCTGTGCTTTAGCCTTGTTTCAGAACATGAGTGTTGTGTGCATTTTAGTTGTACAGATATGATTTCTTTGTATACAGACTCTTGATTCCTTGCCTCCCAGGCAGATGTACTCTGACTTCTATGAAAGCCCCCAGTTAGTCGAGTCTTATGACATGCTTTTGGAGGATGCAGTGGGTGTTCTTGTTTTCTCCACTAGGAGAAGACTTCTTGCGATAAAGTTTTTTTTTCTTTTTTATATTTTTCTTTAGTTCCATCTGAAAATGACAAAATTAATTTGTGAAGATCACAAATCACACAGATTATTCTATTTGTTTAAATAAGACATGTTTTCAAGTTGCAACAGCTTTTTATGAAGGGAAATAATCAAAAATAGAGCAGACAATAAACTGCTTTCCTTCCCTTAGCCCTGGCATTTTTGTTGTTGTTGACACTACCATGTGGAACAAAATAACGTCATAATGATCTAGAGGTAAGGCCCCCTCCCCCCCCTCCCCTTTTTCCTCCTTCTCCCCCCACCCCCCAGCTTAAAATAAATAAAACAAAGAAGCTGAAACTACGGCCCTCACAGGGCAACATTATTAATGGGCATGATTGTAAATAGAACGATTATACAGGCTAAGGGGTAACCTGCAATCCTAAGCAGGTAAGGACCTGTGTTGCTGTCAGTCATATTGTCTTGTGGCTTGTACATGCTGGCAAATTTCCGCCTTTCCAGACAGCAGTGCTAGGTTGTACTAAGAGAAGGCTCGGGAATCACCACCCATAGTGATGGCGGGCTGGACCAGCAACACCTGCTCGCATCAACAAACAAACAAATCTTCCACAATGAGAGCATGAGATATCAGGACAATTATTACTATTGTATGTTTTTATTGTACTTTGTCTTGGGTGGTCAGCTTTTATCTTGTCTTAATCATTTCTACTTTAACCTTATTCATTTCCTGATTCCCCCCATCTCCCTTTCCTGCAGTGCTGTCCAAGGCACCCATTCCTATGAGTTTATATCAATGCCTGTACTATTCATGTCCCGCTTGCACACATCTTTATGTCATAGTGGAGGCCACCTTGGCACATTGGGATCTTAAATCTAATAAAGCACTATAGAAGATGTCCTTAGGGAGTCTACCATTCTTTATCCTCCAGGTGTGTTCTAGCCATCTGAGACTTCAGAGACAGCTTTGAAAAAGGCTTCTGCATACATTATCATCAAGTGCCTTGCGGACTGGCATGGGCGATCATGCCTCTTCACAATCTACGATCTTCAGTAGCACGTATCAGTTTGTGTTTCGCAAATCTTTCCAGTGGTGGCAACATGTTCCAGTCTCCTTCTTCTCATAACATGACCAAAAACGACCCCCCACACTCTCCCCACAGTGAGGCCCCGGAACCTACACAGGACATCAGTCTTTATGAAACCATATCTTGACAGCTTCCACATCATTTCTAACTAATTTCTAGAATGTTCAAGATTCACTTCCACACATGAGTATCATTGATACCACGAGGAATAACTGCCGTACTGTTATGTTGGTTCCTAGGCTCTGAACTGGCTGATTCGTAGTGTGGTGCAGCAAGTGTGTCTTCATGATCTGATGTGGTTCTTTGTGGACTCCCTCATTCCCAGCACTGAGGAGGAGTCTGAAGGAGGCCAGGAGGAAGGAGTGGAAGTCAAGAAGAAAGAAGTGAAAAAGGACATGGAGGTAAGTTTCATTCAGCTTTTGTAGCATCCATGAACTTCATGGGGTAGTGCTGACTGTTGTTATTCTTATTCCTTGATGCTAAAAAAAAAATATTTAAAAGATATGTAAAAAGAGTTATCAATAAACATGAGCAGAGTGAAGTATCAAATAGACTTATATTATCATGAGTCACTTGATAATATATGTATCAAGTGACTCATGATGTGGTGACTCGTGATGTGGTGATTTATGATGTGGTGACTCATAATTTGGTGACTCGTGATGTGGCCTCCATCACTGGGGCTTGGTCGACCTCTAGATCTGCTTCCATTATGTCTATCTGATAAGGCTGTCACTATCTGGTGGTAATCTTCAGACATATCCAAACCATTTGATCTGTTGTTCCTTTATGTAGTTGAGCACTGGTTCGGTTTCAGCTTTCTTCCTGATATTGTCATTTCTGATCCTGTCTGCTTTGACACTGTAAGCTGTATACTGCAACAGAGAAGCAGTCTCGCCTGTTCAGTTTTCAGTCAAGACAAAGCTGTCTGGTACAGGGGAAGATTTAGACTGACCGATAGCTTTTGTTAAGGCTACCTGCCTCCTGATAGACATTTTCTGACAGAATGATCGAAGAAGAAGAAGAAGAAGGCTCATATGGAGCTTTGGATGAGAGTGAAACAAACTCCAGTGTGTCAAGAGGTGAAGTCCCCATGTGAGTTCTGGGGTCCTGTTGTGGAGAAAACAAGAACAGACCCATTGTCTCCCCAACAAGCATGTCGAAGGAGTGGACTAATTGGGGACATCCTTCGAATTCAGAGTACATTTTTGCCAGGGAGGCAGGAAACCAAGAGTCTGCTTACAGATAAGCTAGACCTGTGAAACAGATGTGCACGCAACATTCAGGTTCTGGAACAAGACAAGTCTGGAGATGGAACTTTCTGCCTGAGTTTACAGTTGGTGAACTTAAAGAAGAAGAGGTGAAGAAAAAATGCTATCATTGGATAAGCATACATTAAGAAACCTGAGAACAGGATAACTAGAATGTCTTTACACTGGAACCCACATAGGCCTAGCAATAAAGGCAGACCATGGAGAAGGGAACTGGAGAGTGAAGTTAAAAAGATGGGAAGGGCATTGGGTGATGTGAAGGCAGTCTTATGTGTAATTACGTCTCTGTTCTGAGTACACTTTGTATGTTAAAGTCCTACTTGACAATTGTGTCTTTGCTAGTGTTTTGATGAAACAATAGTTGCACATAGTTTGAATCTGATGTTTTAACATATCATCCAGGATGTTCCCATATGTGACCACCCGATGTCAGACATCATAGTGGCAGGGAAAGCTGCAGCACAGTTGCCGGAGACATTCCACAGTGTTCTGAGAACAATCAGCGATGTCATGATGCTGCTTCCGATGGGCTCAGCTGTCCAGGTAGGAATTGGATCTTCTTCTTCTCCTCCTCTTCATCTTCTTCCTCTTTCTCGTTCTCTTCTTCTTCTTCTGCTTCTTCTTCGTCACAGGTCCGATTCACTTGTGAAAGAGAAATCTCTATGCCACATCTACAGCGAGTCAAAAAATATAATGCTCCCTGTGTAATCACTGATGGACATAGAAAATACTGCTGCTGAAAGAATGACTATAAGCCAAAGAGACTTAATAAGATAGACCTCCCAAACAAACCTACATAATCAGAAGACCACAATCTGGGAATTTTTCCCTAGAATAGTATACCTCCTAGCTCATACAATGGCTTACACTCATACACTAGGATCTATGATGACAGAATGGGCCTCATTCCATATCCTGGGGTATTTTAGTTATCATAACAGTCATATAACACTCGTTTACCAATACCACTGTTAAGATGATGAAAGAATAGACAGATCTCATTCTGTATTAGACAAAACCTGGAACTGGTCAAGTCTGTCTGTCTGTCTGTCTCTCCCCCCTCCCCCTCTCTCCCCCCTACACATGCACACACACTGTATTCCCATTTGTGCTCTTATATTGTACCTACACCATTCTATCTACATACATCCAGATATCTAGATTATAGCAACGACTCCTCCAATAATGATGCCATTGATACAGTGCCGATCTCTCTACCTTGCAGCAAATGGCAGTGAGGTGTTACTGTGCCCAGTTCATGCAGTCAGACCACCAGTTTCTCCATGAATCCCACGTGTTCAGTAATCTCAGCCGCATCCTCAGCAAGTCTGAAGAAGAGCCAGAAGAAGGATCCCTGGACACATCAATGGTCAGTAGTTCAGGTCTTATGAATGAATGAATCGGTGGTCAGTAGTTCAGGTCTTATGAATGAATGAATCAATGGTCAGTAGTTCAGGTCTTATGAATGAATCAGTGGTCATTAGTTCAGGTCTTAGAATGAATGAATCAATGGTCAGTAGTACAGGTCTTGTGAATGAATGAATCAATGGTCAGTAGTTCAGGTCTTATGAATGAATGAATCAGTGGTCATTGGTTCAGGTCTTATGAATGAATGAATCAACGGTCAGTAGTTCAGGTCTTATGAATGAATGAATCAGTGGTCATTAGTTCAGGTCTTATGAATGAATGAATCAGTGGTCATTAGTTCAGGTCTTTGAATGAATGAATCAGTGGTCATTAGTTCAGGTCTTATGAATGAATGAATTAATCAATGGTCAGTAGTTCAGGTTTATGAATGAATGAATCAATGGTCAGTAATTCAGGTCTGATGAATGAATGAATCAGTGGTCATTAGTTCAGGTCTTATGAATGAATGAATCAATGGTCAGTAGTTCAGATCTTATGAATGAATGAATCAGTGGTCAGTAGTTCAGGTCTTATGAATGAATGAATCAGTGATAAAGGAAAGTAAATTTAGTGGACTTTCCTTGGGCTAACCAAAAAAATAAAACTGTGAGACTACAGCTGAGCCAACAGATCAGATGTAATAAGTTCATGTGATAACTTAGCTTAAGGACACAGTTAGTTGTAATATAGAGGAAATGGAGTAGAAAAAAAATGATTGTATAGTGAATTGAAAAATTAGCACATTGAACGAGGAGAGAGTAGGTCGAGGGAGCCAGAAAAACAAAGTGGTGTGTTTATCAAGTGTGTGAGTATAAAGCAAGTGTGTGAAACTTGAGAATGTGTGAGAGAGCATAGCGTGTTTATCAAGTGTGTGAGTGTAAAGCAAGCTTGTGAAACTTGAGAATGTATGAGAGAGCAAAGTGTGTTTATCAAGTGTGTGAGTATAAAGCAAGTGTGTGAAACTTGAGAATGTGTGAGAGAGCATAGCGTGTTTATCAAGTGTGTGAGTGTAAAGCAAGCTTGTGGAACTTGAGAATGTTGAGAGAGCATAGCGAAAAGGGAGACGAGAGCACAGCGGAAAGGGAGACGAGAGCACAGCAGAAAGGGAGACGAGAGCATAGCGGAAAGGGAGACGAGAGCACAGCAGAAAGGGAGACGAGAGCACAGCGGAAAAGGAGACGAGAGCACAGCGGAAAGGGAGACGAGAGCACAGCGGAAAAGGAGACGAGAGCACAGCAGAAAGGGAGACGAGAGCACAGCGGAAAAGGAGACGAGAGCACAGCGGAAAGGGAGACGAGAGCATAGTGGAAAGGGAGACGAGAGCACAGCGGAAAAGGAGACGAGAACATGGTGGACAAGGAGACGGTTAGATTATTTGTGGTACCGGGCTCCTTTGGTAAAGACGAACAACTAGAAAGACAGATTGTATATTATTTCAAGGAAGGGAGCAACTGCTTGAACATGCCAGTTTGTGAGTTGTGAGGTGGGTTATCTACACAGCATTTGGACACATCAGTAGGTGCTCAAATTGCTCCTTCAGCATATAGATCAGCATCCTGCAGTTATTAGCACCAGTCCTGTCCTGGTTGACAAGACTTCTTGTATGTCCTATGTGCCCCTCATGGTTGGCTGTGCCGATTTTTATTCCCAGTTCTCTCAGTCTTAGCAGTAATGTGGACACACTGCTCCAAGAATCCTCCAATCGTCCTATCTCTTTGAGCATATCAGCGCAATCCAAAGGCCGGCCATCTACAACTTAAGGCAGAACAGACCAGTCTATCAGCCAGTGTGTTTTTTGTTGAAGACATGTAGTGGTCATCGAGATATAAGAAAGTAACAGTGGACTTTCATTCGACTGACCAGTGGACATTTGGTGAATTATACGGTGTATAGAGTTCAGCCTTGTCCTGGTATGAGTAAACAGCGCAGGCCGAGAGAGGGATCATGTTGCATGGACAACACATGATCTCTACAATACTGCACATATTTCATGCTATGGAGAGCTTTGGGCTGTGACTCGCATGCCTCTCTGTAACATTGTCTGGAAATATGGAAAGGTGCCAACAAATTGTTGCAGTTACTCATTTAACTATAATAGCTACTAACTCTTAAATCATTGATGTTGACAAACTCTCTGTCCAGCTGATTTCAGTTTGCATGCATTTTCTTCTTTTTGGATGATTAATTATTGTGTTTGTTTTACTTTTAACACTGTGGATAGTTTTACTGAATCAGATAACAGAAGTCAATATTTTGTTGAATAGGGATCAGATAAAAGAGGTCAATAGTTTACAGAATGTGCTGAGAGAAGTCAATTCTTGACAGAATAAGCTGAGAGAAGTCAAATGTTTACTAAATCGGATAACAGAGGTCAACAGTTTACTCAATAAGATGACAGAAGTCAGTTGTTTACAGAATAAGTTGACAAATATTTACTAAATCAGATAACAGAGGTCAATAGCTTACTCAATAAGATGACAGAAGTCAATAGTTTACATAATCAGATAACAGAGATGAATTGTTTACTTAATAAGATGACAGAAGTCAATAGTTTACGTAATCAGATAACAGAGATGAATTGTTTACTTAATAAGATGACAGAAGTCAATAGTTTACATAATCAGATAACAGAGATGAATTGTTTACTTAATAAGATGACAGAAGTCAATGGTTTACATAATCAGATAACAGAGATGAATTGTTTACTTAATAAGATGACAGAAGTCAATAGTTTACATAATCAGATAACAGAGATGAATTGTTTACTTAATAAGATGACAGAAGTCAATAGTTTACATAATCAGATTACAGAGATGAATTGTTTACTTAATTACTTAATAAGATGACAGAAGTCAATAGTTTACATAATCAGATAACAGAGATGAATTGTTTACTCAATAAGATGACAGAAGTCAATAGTTTACATAATCAGATAACAGAGATGAATTGTTTACTCAATAAGATGACAGAAGTCAATAGTTTACATAATCAGATAACAGAGATGAATTGTTTACTCAATAAGATGACAGAAGTCAATAGTTTACATAATCAGATAACAGAGATGAATTGTTTACTTAATAAGATGACAGAAATCAATAGTTTACATAATCAGATAACAGAAGTCAATAATTTACAGAATCAGATAACAGAAGTCAATAGTTTACAGAATAAGATTACAGAAGTCAGTTCTTTACAGAATAAGCTGACAGACGTCAGAAGTCTACTTAATCAGAAAACAGGAGTATTAAAACACAAAAAACATAGGCCTGAGTCACATAGGTTGTAAGTCAGGTTGTAATGGAAAAGTCCTTCACGTTACTTTACCAAGATTGTGAACATATTCTTGTTGAGTTTGTTTTATTTGCTGTTTGTTTACTTTTGTGTAGATTAGAAGATTCATATCCGCATGTGACTCGGTGAGTCGTTTAATCTCTTCACCTCCGTTCACCAATTATTTTCTTAAATAAATTTGAAGCTCTAGTAATAATTATTCTTGTTTAATTGTTGTTTTAATTTCTTCTTTTGTTTCTGCTTGTTTATTTCAATATATTTTTATTTTGTTACTTTGTTTTTATTTTATCCTCACCACTTGTTCTTCTAGCCGGAACATGACAGAGGACAGGTTCTTGTTGGAGGGTGTTTGTTTTAACATTTAACCCCATCAGTTCTTCCCGTTCTTTTCTCACACCAGGACGTGGACGGCATATGGGAATGCCATGTTTTCCCACTATATTCCGTACTCCCCACACTCTCTCTCTCTCACACACACACACACACACACACAGAGAGAGAGAGAGAGATAGACAGAGAGATAGAGATAGACAGACAGAGTTGGTCATGTTCTTGTCTTCAATTTTTGTTTTAAATTTCATCCTCCTCTGTTTTGCCCTTGTGTTGTGGTTAACAGCTAGGCTGGATATCTATATCTTTCGGCCACCACACGTCCAATTTCTGGAAAGTCTTAATTAGTTTCCCTTTGTGACATGCTTGTTAAGAGGCAGTGGGTTCATGATTTTTCCCCCCTCCCAAAATGAGTTCCAGGAATCCCTGTGGAAAACTTCAACCTATTCAGAGATCCCTGCCTCTAATTACCCCAACCCCCCCCCCCCTTTTCATTACACATGCCCACACACACACACACGCACTTAGCAATCGAGTTTTTGTTGGGAAAAAAACCATAAACACACACTTATCACACTGTCATTAGAATGTTTGTTTTGAACCTGCAACTGACTCACTCACAACTCTCCCATACACGGAAGTGAACACATTCTAGTTGGTATCTGAAATCCATGGTCACGGTGGTCTGGAGAGAGTTTCCGGAAAATGAAGCAGAGGTCAAGCTCCACAAATGTGGATACAGGACATGGAATATGCATTGGCTGTGAAAGCACATAGGGCTGGGGAACTGGCTAGAGAAAGAGAAATTTTCAGACGTGCTATGACGAGAGTAACGTTTCACACAGGACTTGTTGATTGGTTGATGTATAGCCATCCCATCAGATACACATTGATGTATTTGTGCACGATGCCTACAAATTTTGGCTCTCTGTTGGAAAATTGGAGAGAAAAAAAAAAAAACAGTTTCAGGTCACTCTGTGTGGGAGGCAGGGTTCCACTATCACAAGGCTTAGGCTTGGTGTGATGGGGAGTGGTGGTAGCTGCCAACTCGAAACTCTAGGCTTCAGATCCTCATCGCGGCAGGTTGTTTTTCAAGTTGACCTTGGCTTCCAGGTTTGATCCAGCCTAAAATGGGTACCAGGAAATGTCACGGAAAGTAAAGGTGGCTGGTGTAGTGATCAGGACCACGTAGCCCATTTAGTGAGGATTAGTTTATATAAATATATACGTATTCTAGTGTTTGTAATCTATATTTTTTATTTGGTTAAAATAGTGGAAGTTCTACTGTGGTATGCCCTGCTTGTTGTTAAAAGGCACTAAAGAAAATTGAAGCCCATTGCGCTAGCTGAGTTTATTAAACCAGTGTTGCAGCGACCGGGTGACAAACTCCTTGTGGTCCGAGTTCATGCTTGGAGGTTGGCAGAAAAGCTACATATTTCCCAGATTTATGATTTCTATCATGGAATCAAGGCCGAAGGGTTGTGATATCCATAGTACCAAGCCAAAGTGTTTACAACTCATAGTTTCTAGATTTTTTTTTTTTTTTTTTTTTTTTTTTTTTTTGTTAATGAAAATTGAAACACAAACGTCTTTTTATTTTTGTTGTTTTTTTTTTACAGAAAAGCTAGCTGCAAAAGCCTACCCAATAAGTTTTTAGAGTTGATTAAAAAAAAGGTTTAATATGAGAATGTGTTGAAAAAAAAGCTTTGCTACAAAATCATACCTTACATGTTGTCAGACATGGCTAAAGAAGTTGAAATGTGTCAGTACATCTTTGCTGCAACAGCCAGACAATGATAAACATGTCTGCCAAGGGCGTGATGTGTTGGTTGAGGCCTTATGCTCCATTGGAAGTTAACAGATAGAAGAAGAAGAATATCAGATTAGTCCGACTAACAGATGTTCATTTACTCGACGTTATTCTTCTTCCTCTTCGTCTTGTTTGTGTTCACCAACTGTAAACTCCTGTGAAAAGTTCTGGTTGTTTGTCCACTTCTGGACTTTATTTTTGTTCCAGAACCTGATTGTTGCATGCACATCCGCTTTACAGCTTTGGCTTATTAGTATGCAGACTTATGGGTACTCACCTTTTGTGCAGATGCAGCAGCCATCTGGTGTCTCCATGCCCAACGTACCAGAAGGAGATGACTGGCATATCTTCTTTCTTTACCCTTGCAGCTGATTTTTACATGCTTGTCCTTGTTTGTTGCCTATTTCCAGCATGTGGTTTATCATCTCCAACGCAACCCTGGAATGCACCTCGTTCAGTATGTCTGCCCTGTCCATACTTCTTGCACCACCAACCCCTGCAGACACGGCCAGTCTGTCGGCTCTTTGATATCCCTTCACCCCGTTGTATCCCGGTGTGTACAGTGTCTTGAGGGGCAACTTCTGGCTGCTGTCAGCCAATTCTAGTCTCAGTTTGGCCTATTCTAAAGTTGCCAAATAAAAGTCCCTTTTCCATATTTGGAAATATAGGGCTAGACCTATATTTTTATAGACCTATCAGCACTTGGTGGGGGAAATGATCAGCATCGCACCGGCTGCCTTTACTTCCCAGGACTACACCTGGTACCCATTCAAGGCTAGGTTGGCCTGGGAGTCAAGGTCATTTTTGAAAAATTGTCTACTTCCGTCAGGACGCGAACCTACGACCTTCAGAAGAAGATTTATTTTTGTCACTGTTTTCACTGATTTACACACACACCTAACCATGTTCTCAGTGATAGTTCTCTACATCTGTCCATGTAGGTGTCCCACAAGGTGATCTGTCTGAAAGACCTCACAGGAATGACAGAGATCAAGGCTTCAAGTCGACAGGCCATGATCGGCAGTCTGACAGGTGAGTACATCCTGGCTGAGGGTCAGAAGCCTGTGAGTTGGAGATTTTTATGTCTATGACCACAGTGTTGTGGTGGTGTACTGGCTAGATGCTTACCTGCTGATACGCATGGAGCGTATTTATTCATACATGACCTTAGCTCCCAGGTCAACCCAGACTTAAATGGGTACCAAGTAGAGCCTGGGAAGTAAAGGCGGCTGGCATGATAATGATGACCACATCGCCTGTCAAAGGTCAACTGGTCTAAAAAAAATATGAGACTAACCTTATATTCCTGATGTGCTACTGGTGTGTAAATAGATGCACTGCCCCCCCCCCCCCCCCTCCCCAACAAGCTTGTTGTCAAAATCAGCTAATAGGGGTTGAATTAAGAATCAACATCACAGCACTCAGGACACCCCCGTAAGCGCTCCATCCCCATCTCCAGCAGCAAGTGAAGAGTTACAATTTTCGATGGTACCAGTAACTGTCTGATTGATTATCCGTCTCACCTTTCCCCTGAATATCGAGCGTCGGCCAGATCCCCTTGTAACTCCTCGCAGCGCCATTCTCCTCAAGACTGTAATGATCTATCTGTTCCTTGGCACTGTTCACTCGCTCCCAAAGGGCCCTTACAACATCCAGCTTGTCATATATCAGTTCACAACCAAGTGGTGCAGAACCGACCAGTCTAACTGCCTGCTCATTTCCCAACACACCGGCATAACCTGGAGAAAATATCCAGAGGATGCTAACTACCTGGGACTTCTGAAGTGATGCTTGCCACTCTGCGCGGAGCTTGCCTGTCTTCACCTTTCTCAGCATGCTCTGTGAGTCAGTTACAATCATGCCATGTGTGTACAGCTGATTCTCAAGCCAGCGGAAGGCTGCAGTCACTGCCTCCACGTCCATTCTCAAACTAGACGTTGTGATATCATATGCCAGGCTTTGTTGCACCAAGCGACGTCCAATCGCCTTCGCTATGAACAACTAATTAGGGATGTTCCTCTTGAAGATGTATTGCATTTGCCTGAGAGATCTGGAACCAGTATGCATATAAATAAGAAATGCTAAATAAAACACAAAATGCGAGTAGAAAGCTCAACAAAGGGATGGAAAAGACATACAAACAAAACTGAACATTTCGACCAAGGGATGTAGACTTTGATCAGAACATTTGGTTGTGTTTGTGTGTGTCTTTTAAATTCCCTTCATTGAGCTTTCTAGTCACATTTTGTGTTTTATTGAAAATTTTTTGCAATCAGCTCGGCTGCCTTGACCCCCTATTTACGTCATCACTCTGCATGTAAATAAGACAGATCTGTCAAATGGATCATCATGCAAAAACAGATGTAGAAGAAGACTGAAGTCTAGAAGTGGACAGACAACCAGAACTTTCCACTGAATTTGCAGCAGATGAACATCATCATCATCATCATGTGCCCTGCCAACTGGCGTAGGTGCTCATGCGTCTCCACAGATCACGATTCTTGGTTACCTGGAACAGCTCTCCTGATGATATCCCTCTATGCCATCATTTCAGCCCATCCAGCATTATCTCTCTTGGTCTGCCTCTACCACTTTTTTCCACTGATCTTTCCAGTGGTCACAATGTTCTCCAATGTCTCTCTTCTCATCAGGTTCCTAAAGAACAGTGTTTGTCTCTTTCTTAGTGTTGTATATAGAGATCTACTTTCATTAGCTTCTTTCAATTAATCGTTGTCAGTTACTCTGGCCGTCCAAGGTACTGGTAACGTTCGTCTCAAGTAATCGTTGTCAGTTACTCTGGCCGTTCAAGGTACTGGTAACGTTCGTCTCAGCAACCACAGCAGATGAACACTAAGAAGAAAATATTATGGCTATCCTCCGACTAACGGTTGGTAAAGATGGCGGCCGCAAAATATCCTTTCAAGCCACAGTCGCGTGACTTAATTTGCGGTTTTCCGCTCATGCGGCGTGGAATGGGGCTAAACTAGATGGCTAGGACCCACGAGCAGCAACCGCGGTGTGCTCGTGGCCGCTAGTGCGCAATTGACACGCTACTGTGGCTCAAAAGGATATTTTGCAGCCGCCATCTTAACCGACCGTTTGTCGGAGGATAGCCAATATTATTTATTTTACATTCTCCACTGATACAAATGAGATGCTTGAAAATGTAACACAAGTAATATGAGAATCAGATGTGATTTCATAAACTAGCCATCTTTAATCATTAATTTTTTTCCTTGTCTTTACCCAACACAGATAACTCAACGGAGACCTTCTGGGAGAGCGGAGATGAAGATCGTAACAAGCTTAAAGTGCTGACCATCACCTGTTCCACAAAAACCGTGCCAAACATTGTCTATGTTCACATTGACAACATCAGAGACATGGGTGTCAGTTGTCTATTTGTATTGTTTTATTTTCTTCCCACTTGTGTTCTTATTGCTTTATTTTTGTCATGTAAGACTCTTATATGTACCCTGTAAGACTTCTATATGTGCCATGTAGGACTCTTATATGTGCCCTGTAAGACTTCTATATGTGCCATGTAGGACTCTTATATGTGCCCTGTAAGACTTCTATATGTGCCATGTAGGACTCTTATATGTGCCCTGTAAGACTTCTATATGTGCCATGTAGGACTCTTATATGTGCCCTGTAAGACTTCTGTGTGTGCCATGTAGGACTCTTATATGTGCCCTGTAAGACTTCTGTGTGTGCCATGAAGGACTCTTATATGTACCCTGTAAGACTTCTGTGTGTGTCATGTAAGACTTCTGTATGTGCCATGTAGGACTCTTCTATGTGTCCTGTAAGACTTCTATATGTGCCATGTAGGACTCTTATATGTGCCCTGTAAGACTTCTGTGTGTGCCATGTAGGATTCTTGTATGTACCCTGTAAGACTTCTGTGTGTGCCATGTAGGACTCTTATATGTGCCCTGTAAGACTTCTGTATGTGCCATGTAGGACTCTTATATGTACCCTGTAAGACTTCTGTGTGTGCCATGAAGGATTCTTATATGTCCCGTGTAAGACTTCTGTGTGTGCCATGTAGGACTGTCTTATATGTGCCCTGTAAGACTTCTGTATGTGCCATGTAGGACTCTTATATGTGCCCTGTAAAACTTCTGTGTGTGCCATGTAGAACTGTCTTATGTGTGCCCTGTAAGACTTTTGTGTGTGCCATGAAGTACTCTTATATGTGTCCTGTAAGACTTCTGTGTGTGACATGAAGGACTCTTATATGTGCCCTGTAAGACTTCTGTATGTGCCATGTAGGACTCTTATATGTGTCCTGTAAGACTTCTGTGTGTGCCATGTAGGACTCTTATATGTGCCCTGTAAGACTTCTGTATGTGCCATGAAGGACTCTTAAATGTGCCCTGTAAGACTTCTGTATGTGCCATGTAGGACTCTTATATGTGCCCTGTAAGACTTCTGTGTGCCATGTAGGACTCTTTTATGTACCCTGTAAGACTTCTGTATGTGCCATGAAGGACTCTTATATATGCCCTGTAAGACTTCTGTATGTGCCATGTAAGACTCTTAAATGTGCCCTGTAAGACTTCTGTGTGTGCCATGTAGGACTGGCTTATATGTGCCCTGTAAGACTTCTGTATGTGCCATGTAGGACTGTCTTATATGTGCCCTGTAAGACTTCTGTATGTGCCATGTAGGACTCTTATATGTGCCCTGTAAGACTTCTGTATGTGCCATGTAGGACTCTTATATGTGCCCTGTAAGACTTCTGTATGTGCCATGTAGAACTGTCTTATGTGTGCCCTGTAAGACTTCTGTGTGTGCCATGTAGGACTCTTATATGTGCCCTGTAAGACTTCTGTATGTGCCATGTAGGACTCTTAAATGTGCCCTGTAAGACTTCTGTATGTGCCATGTAGGACTCTTATATGTGCCCTGTAAGACTTCTGTATGTGCCATGAAGGACTCTTATATGTGCCCTGTAAGACTTCTGTATGTGCCATGAAGGACTCTTATATGTGCCCTGTAAGACTTCTGTGTGTGCCATGTAAGACTCTTTTATGTACCCTGTAAGACTTCTGTATGTGCCATGAAGGACTCTTATATGTGCCCTGTAAGACTTCTGTGTGTGCCATGTAGGACTGGCTTATATGTGCCCTGTAAGACTTCTGTATGTGCCATGTAGGACTCTTATATGTGCCCTGTAAGACTTCTGTATGTGCCATGAAGGACTCTTATATGTGCCCTGTAAGACTTCTGTATGTGCCATGTAGGACTCTTATATGTGCCCTGTAAGACTTCTGTATGTGTCATGCAGGACTCTTATATGTGCCCTGTAAGACTTATGTATGTGCCATGTAGGACTCTTATATGTGCCCTGTAAGACTTCTGTGTGTGCCATGAAGGACTCTTATATGTGCCCTGTAAGACTTCTGTATGTGCCATGTAGGACTCTTATATGTGCCCTGTAAGACTTATGTATGTGCCATGTAGGACTCTTATATTTGCCCTGTAAGACTTCTGTATGTGTCATGCAGGACTCTTATATGTGCCCTGTAAGACTTATGTATGTGCCATGTAGGACTCTTATATGTGCCCTGTAAGACTTCTGTATGTGTCATGCAGGACTCTTATATGTGCCCTGTAAGACTTATGTATGTGCCATGTAGGACTGGCTTATATGTGCCCTGTAAGACTTCTGTATGTGCCATGTAGGACTCTTATATGTGCCCTATAAGACTTCTGTATGTGTCATGCAGGACTCTTATATGTGCCCTGTAAGACTTATGTATGTGCCATGTAGGACTCTTATATGTGCCCTGTAAGACTTCTGTGTGTGCCATGAAGGACTCTTATATGTGCCCTGTAAGACTTCTGTATGTGCCATGTAGGACTCTTATATGTGCCCTGTAAGACTTATGTATGTGCCATGTAGGACTCTTATATGTGCCCTGTAAGACTTCTGTATGTGTCATGCAGGACTCTTATATGTGCCCTGTAAGACTTATGTATGTGCCATGTAGGACTCTTATATGTGCCCTGTAAGACTTCTGTATGTGTCATGCAGGACTCTTATATGTGCCCTGTAAGACTTATGTATGTGCCATGTAGGACTGGCTTATATGTGCCCTGTAAGACTTCTGTATGTGCCATGTAGGACTCTTATATGTTCAGTGCAGGGCTGTTCTTTGTGTGCAACATGGAGCTGTCGTGTCAGATGTCTGAGACATGTCATGTCAGATGTCTGAGACATGTCATGTCAGATGTCTGAGACATGTCATGTCAGATGTCTGAGACATGTCATGTCAGATGTCTGAGACATGTCATGTCAGATGTCTGAGACATGTCATGTCAGATGTCTGAGACATGTCATGTCAGATGTCTGAGACATGTCATGTCAGATGTCTGAGACATGTCATGTCAGATGTCTGAGACATGTCATGTCAGATGTCTGAGACATGTCATGTCAGATGTCTGAGACATGTCATGTCAGATGTCTGAGACATGTCATGTCAGATGTCTGAGACATGTCATGTACAGCAGTTTTTGAGATGCCTTGACTTCTTCTGATTTCTGTTACAGAACAAAGTATCAAATATAACCTTCAACGCTGGAACGTCAGCTGATGACCTGAAGAAAATCAAAGTTGTAAGTTATTCATGGTGTTGGTGACACTTGTGATGTTTTCCCTAAGTCCATGGGGTTTGACATTGGTAGTCATGTCCGTCCACAACCTTCTGTCTCGTGTACTTTCTGTCAGCTCTGACACCGATGATCTTCCAAGCCATGTGGCGTTAGTAGTCATGTCTGTCAACAACCTTCTGTCTCGTGTACTTTCTGTCAGCTCTGACACAGATGATCTTCCAAGCCATGTGGCGTTGGTGGTCATGTCTGTCAACAACCTTCTGTCTCGTGTACTTTCTGTCAGCTCTGACACAGATGATCTTCCAAGCCATGTGGCGTTGGTGGTCATGTCTGTCAACAACCTTCTGTCTCGTGTACTTTCTGTCAGCTCTGACACAGATGATCTTCCAAGCCATGTGGCGTTGGTGGTCATGTCTGTCAACAACCTTCTGTCTCGTGTACTTTCTGTCAGCTCTGACACAGATGATCTTCCAAGCCGTGTGGCATTGGTAGTCATGTCTGTCAACAACATTCTGTCTCGTGTACTTTCTGTCAGCTCTGACACAGATGATCCTCCATGGCATGATGTCAAACTGTCCAGCATATTTTCTCTCCGTCTACCTCTGCCTCTTCTCCCCTCCAACTTTTATACCATCACAGTGTACTCCAGTTTTCTCCTTCTCATCACATGACCAAAGAATGTAGACTGTCTCTTTCGGATGTGGACAATCAGTTCTCTTCGTAAGTTAGGTTCTTTCACAACATCTTCACTACTCTTTTTGTCTATGCAGGGTATTCTCATCACTCATCTACAAAACGACATCTCTGCCGCTTCTAAAAATGTTTCACTAATCCACCGACTGTCCATGATTCACTTCTGTATGTCAGGATAAGATTTATCTAGCTTTAAGAATTCTTTTTCTCATCTCACTTGACAAAGAAAGATTGCAGAAAATATTTTTCATTCTGTTAAATGTTCCCTTTGCTTGAGCTATTCTACCATGTTCTGTTCTATGAAACTGATTTCTGGTTTGACTGAGAAATTGTTGGTTGAAATTTTTTGGGATGAATCTGTTAAAACTACATGTGGTTTTGACTAATGAAATCTTGAATCCATTTCAGCCCTGGCAGAAAGAATAGTAGTAGAGGGCAGAATGGAAGAAATGCATAGCCAGCCAGCCAACTGGCTATTGGTACTTTAAGTATTTTGCTCAGGTCAGTTTCAGGAGAGAGACTGAACACAAATGAGTATATTCTGAGCGCTGTGACTTCAGTGCTGTTAAAAGCAACATTAAAGGATAATACTGACCTTTCACCACGTATTTGACATTTCACCATATATTTGACCTTTAATCGTGTATTTGACCTTTCATCGTGTATTTGTAATTTTGTTTCATTGTCCCCAGGCTGAGGTTGATGTTCGTCACTGTGGATGGATCAGCTGCCCACTTGCAGCATCAACAAATGCCCCATCACGTCACCTGACTATTGAGCTCAAGGGCCCCGACCAAAGTCTTCGGTTAAGACAAATCAAGGTACCAGTTTTTGTTTCTTTCTCTAGATTTCAAGTTTCTTTATTTTTATTATTATTTATTCATTCACTAACTAATGAGAATGAATCATATAATGCCAGCAACAAGAACATACAACATGAAAGTAGAAACACTAGACCTAGGGGATTACCAAGAAAAGGTTGGAGTGTTGGAGTCGCTGACATCTTGAGACTCCACGGCATACTGTGCAACCGAGCAGCCCCAGCTCGGATACCGATCATTTGTTAACTTAGTGACATAAAGCAGAATGTGTTCACAAGAAAAGAAAGATTCATTAAAAGACTCATAAACTATTCAAAATAAAAATGTTGACACAGTATCTCTAATATTATGTGATGTGATAGTTTCTTCATTCTTGATTTTTATTCCTCGGACTTTACCTAACTATTTAGTTTAGTCACCGCATTGTAGAGTATTGCTTCAGCACTTCCTTGTCTTCCTTCTCCTGCTACTTCTCTTCCTTCTCCTGCTACTTCTCTACCTTCTCCTGCTACTTCTCTTCCTTCTCCTGCTACTTCTCTTCCTTCTCCTGCTACTTCTCTTCCTTCTCCTGCTACTTCTCTTCCTTCTCCTGCTACTTCTCTTCCTTCTCCTGCTACTTCTCTTCCTTCTCCTGCTGCTCATAGTGCCCTTCTCCTGCTACTTCTCTTCCTTCTCCTGCTACTTCTCTTCCTTCTGCTACTTCTCTTCCTTCTCCTGCTACTTCTCTTCCTTCTCCTGCTACTTCTCTCTTTTCTCCTGCTACTTCTCTTCCTTCTCCTGCTACTTCTCTCTTTTCTCCTGCTACTTCTCTCTTTTCTCCTGCTACTTCTCTTCATTCTCCTGCTACTTCTCTCTTTTCTCCTGCTACTTCTCTCTTTTCTCCTGCTACTTCTCTTCCTTCTCCTGCTACTTCTCTCTTTTCTCCTGCTACTTCTCTCTTTTCGCCTGCTACTTCTCTTCATTCTCCTGCTACTTCTCTCTTTTCTCCTGCTACTTCTCTCTTTTCTCCTGCTACTTCTCTTCCTTCTCCTGCTACTTCTCTCTTTTCTCCTGCTACTTCTCTTCCTTCTCCTGCTACTTCTCTCTTTTGTCCTGCTACTTCTCTCTTCCTTCTCCTGCTACTTCTCTCTTTTCTCCTGCTACTTCTCTCTTTTCACCTGCTACTTCTCTTCATTCTCCTTCTACTTCTCTCTTTTCTCCTGCTACTTCTCTTCCTTCTCCTGCTACTTCTCTCTTTTCTCCTGCTACTTCTCTTCCTTCTCCTGCTACTTCTCTCTTTTCTCCTGCTACTTCTCTCTTTTCGCCTGCTACTTCTCTTCATTCTCCTGCTACTTCTCTCTTTTCTCCTACTACTTCTCTCTTTTCTCCTGCTACTTCTCTTCCTTCTCCTGCTACTTCTCTCTTTTCTCCTGCTACTTCTCTTCCTTCTCCTGCTACTTCTCTCTTTTGTCCTGCTACTTCTCTCTTCCTTCTCCTGCTACTTCTCTCTTTTCTCTCCTGCTACTTCTCTCTTTTCGCCTGCTACTTCTCTTCATTCTCCTGCTACTTCTCTCTTTTCTCCTGCTACTTCTCTTCCTTCTCCTGCTACTTCTCTCTCTTTTCTCCTGCTACTTTCTCTTCCTTCTCCTGCTACTTCTCTCTTTTCTCCTGCTACTTCTCTCTTTTCGCCTGCTACTTCTCTTCATTCTCCTGCTACTTCTCTCTTTTCTCCTGCTACTTCTCTTCCTTCTCCTGCTACTTCTCTCTTTTCTCCTGCTACTTCTCTTCCTTCTCCTGCTACTTCTCTCTTTTCTCCTGCTACTTCTCTCTTTTCGCCTGCTACTTCTCTTCATTCTCCTGCTACTTCTCTCTTTTCTCCTGCTACTTCTCTCTTTTCTCCTGCTACTTCTCTTCCTTCTCCTGCTACTTCTCTCTTTTCTCCTGCTACTTCTCTTCCTTCTCCTGCTACTTCTCTCTTTTGTCCTGCTACTTCTCTCTTCCTTCTCCTGCTACTTCTCTCTTTTCTCCTGCTACTTCTCTCTTTTCGCCTGCTACTTCTCTTCATTCTCCTGCTACTTCTCTCTTTTCTCCTGCTACTTCTCTTCCTTCTCCTGCTACTTCTCTCTTTTCTCCTGCTACTTCTCTTACTTCTCCTGCTACTTCTCTCTTTTCTCCTGCTACTTCTCTCTTTTCGCCTGCTACTTCTCTTCATTCTCCTGCTACTTCTCTCTTTTCTCCTGCTACTTCTCTCTTTTCTCCTGCTACTTCTCTTCCTTCTCCTGCTACTTCTCTCTTTTCTCCTGCTACTTCTCTTCCTTCCCCTGCTACTTCTCTCTTTTGTCCTGCTACTTCTCTCTTCCTTCTCCTGCTACTTCTCTCTTTTCTCCTGCTACTTCTCTCTTTTCGCCTGCTACTTCTCTTCATTCTCCTGCTACTTCTCTCTTTTCTCCTGCTACTTCTCTTCCTTCTCCTGCTACTTCTCTCTTTTCTCCTGCTACTTCTCTTCCTTCTCCTGCTACTTCTCTCTTTTCTCCTGCTACTCCTTTCCTTCTCCTGCTGCTCCTCTACCTTCTCCTGCTACTTCTCTTCCTTCTCCTGCTACTCCTCTACCTTCTCCTGTTACTCCTCTACCTTCTCCTGCTACTTCTCTTCCTTCTCCTGCTACTCCTCTTCCTTCTCCTGCTACTTCGTTTCATTCTCCTGCTACTTCTCTTCCTTCTCCTGCTATTTCTCTTCCTTATCCTGCTACTCCTCTACCATCTCCTGCTACTTCTCTTCCTTCTCCTGCTACTCCTCTACCTTCTCCTGCTACTTCGTTTCATTCTCCTGCTACTTCTCTTCCTTCTCCTGCTACTTCGTTTCCTTCTCCTGCTACTCCTCTACCTTCTCCTGCTACTCCTGTACTTTCTCCTGCTACTTCTCTTCCTTCTCCTGCTACTTCTCTTCCTTATCCTGCTACTCCTCTACCATCTCCTGCTACTTCTCTACCTTCTCCTGCTACTTCTCTTCCTTCTCCTGCTACTTCTCTTCCTTATCCTGCTACTTCTCTTCCTTATCCTGCTACTTCTCTTCCATATCCTGCTACTTCTCTTCCTTATCCTGCTACTTCTCTTCCTTCTCGTGCCCTTCTAGTGCTGCTACTCCCCTTCCTCCCCAATGAAAGTGTGTTGCCTGTTGTCAGATCTTGGGTTCTGTTGAGGATGAAGACATGGAGCTGGCCGTCAAGAAAGGTGCTGCACAGATTCAGCAGGAGAATTGTGAGGCAGAGACACTCAAAGTCTTCAGGATCCTGACCTCGCAGGTACGCACTGTGTCATGGGTCATACTTCTTCTAGTAAATGTTTTCTGTCTCTTCTTCTGCCTCTAGTGTGTCATTGATTCCATGTGGGTTGTGGGGCCCCCATTATAGGGGGGGGGGGGGCAAGAATAGACCCACTGTCTCCTTAACAAGTACGTTGTAAATGTTGAAAGGCATCTGCCTGAGGTGAGAAACCAAAGGACTGTATACATATAAGCCAGATCAATAAAATGGATCTGCATACAAAACTCTGGAACAAGACTAAATTCCAGATGTGGACACCAACCAGAACATTTCGCAGTGAACGTAAAGAAGAAGAAGAATATGTCGTCGTTACTTTCTACAAGATTGTGAGGAGCAGCTAGCCAGATTATCAGAATACTCAGCTCTCCTGCAAGAGACTTAGGTTTGAATCTATGATAAAGGGACAGAGTATTTCCCTTTCCCCCCTCCCCCTTGGGGGCACACGAAAGCATCCTTCATTGCTAGCATTAATTTCCCATAGCCACAAGCTGTGATTCCTCATACTTCCTGTAGCACAGTATAATTTTGTCGCTCAGAAAGGTGTCAAGTAAATAAGCTATACATATTACATTATGTTTTTCTGACAGGTAAACCCTTAACCTTGCTGAGAATTCAAACTTGGGTCTTCTGCATGAGAGCCAAATTCGTAGTAGTTACGAGAGATTATTGGCTGAAGGCAGTGCTGAGATAAATAGTCCTGAACTTTTTGATCAGCTGCTCCTTGCTTGTACAACCAGCTGCTCCTTCCTTGTACAACCAGCTGCTCCTTGCCTGTACAACCAGCTGATACTTGCTTGTACAACCAGCTGCTACTTGCTTGTACAACCAGCTGCTCCTTCCTTGTACAACCAGCTGCTCCTTCCTTGTACAACCAGCTGCTCCTTGCTTGTACAACCAGCTGCTCCTTCCTTGTACAACCAGCTGCTCCTTGCTTGTACAACCAGCTGCTCCTTGCTTGTACAACCAGCTGCTCCTTGCTTGTACAACCAGCTGCTACTTGCTTGTACAACCAGCTGCTCCTTGCTTGTACAACCAGCTGCTCCTTGCTTGTACAACCAGCTGCTCCTTGCCTGTACAACCAGCTGCTACTTGCTTGTACAACCAGCTGCTCCTTGCTTGTACAACCAGCTGCTCCTTGCTTGTTCAACCAGCTGCTACTTGCTTGTACAACCAGCTGTTCCTTCCTTGTACAACCAGCTGTTCCTTGCTTGTACAACCAGCTGCTCCTTGCTTGTACAACCAGCTGCTCCTTGCTTGTACAACCAGCTGCTCCTTGCCTGTACAACCAGCTGCTCCTTGCTTGTAGAACCAGCTGCTCCTTCCTTGTACAACCAGCTGCTCCTTCCTTGTACAACCAGCTGCTCCTTCCTTGTACAACCAGCTGCTCCTTGCCTGTACAACCAGCTGTTCCTTCCTTGTACAACCAGCTGCTCCTTGCTTGTACAACCAGCTGTTCCTTCCTTGTACAACCAGCTGCTCCTTGCTTGTACAACCAGCTGCTCCTTGCTTGTACAACCAGCTGCTCCTTGCTTGTACAACCAGCTGCTTCTTGCTTGTACAACCAGCTGCTCCTTGCTTGTACAACCAGCTGCTCCTTGCTTGTACAACCAGCTGCTCCTTGCTTGTACAACCAGCTGCTCCTTCCTTGTACAACCAGCTGCTACTTGCTTGTACAACCAGCTGTTCCTTCCTTGTACAACCAGCTGCTCCTTCCTTGTACAACCAGCTGCTCCTTGCTTGTACAACCAGCTGTTCCTTGCTTGTACAACCAGCTGTTCCTTGCTTGTACAACCAGCTGCTCCTTGCTTGTACAACCAGCTGCTCCTTGCTTGTACAACCAGCTGCTTCTTGCTTGTACAACCAGCTGCTCCTTCCTTGTACAACCAGCTGCTCCTTGCTTGTACAACCAGCTGCTCCTTGCTTGTACAACCAGCTGCTCCTTGCTTGTACAACCAGCTGCTCCTTGCTTGTACAACCAGCTGCTCCTTCCTTGTACAACCAGCTGCTCCTTGCTTGTACAACCAGCTGCCCCTTGCTTGTACAACAAAGTATCTAGTGTCTAACATTGTAAAACTGCCTGCTGTCTGTTATTGAATGTGATCTTTGTGCCCCAGGTGTTTGGCAAGCTGGTGACCAGCCCAGAAGACAGTGAGACTGAAGATGACAAGAGGGAAGACAAGGACAAAGTGGATGGAGACAATGACCTTAAGGAGCACATGGTCAGCATCCTCTTCAGCCGCAGCAAGCTGTCACACATGCAGAGACAGGTCTGTCATCTGTCGCCAGTTTGTTTGTTTTTTTAAATTACATCCGAACATATAAGTCAGTGGACAGTGTGTGTTACAGACAGTGAATTATTGTAGAATGTCTGGTTGTGGAAACAAAAACTGGTGAACATTTGTAAACATTTGGTGCTGTTTATGAAAGTTGTGTGGTTCAGTCGTTAGGTTCAGAGAGTTAAGGCTACAGAAAGTGGAGAGATGCACCTGAGAATGTTACTCATGCTGTGAAAGAATGGCTACGTGAACCTCATGCTGTGAAAGAATGGCTACGTGAACAGCTCAAAACAGGAAACAGTCAAGGTGTGCATCCTTTTGATTTACTTTGGCGTTAGGTCACAGAAGTAGTTGTAGTTTATAAAGAAAATAATTATGGGTGAAAGACGTACTGAGTTGTATTGTCAGTGAATTTTGTACATTTTGCACCAAGTTTGTGAGAGAGAAATATGGGTCATCACTTTATGAATGCCTCATACCCACATCTTCATCACCTCCAAGGTCTTTCTAATTTGTGCAATTCACATTCCATGATTCACTACCATACAGCAATAAAGGTTCTACATTACATTTTAGTACTCTTCTTTCGGACATCCAAAGAGAAGGAGGGACCTGTTGCACAAGATGTTCTTCATTCTGTGAAATGCAGCCTTAGCCTGGCCTATTCTGCTCTTAATTTCTGAGACACATCAGCCGTCTGATGTTATGACTTTACCCAGATATTTAAATTTATAAACTTGGGTTAACATTTTACTTTCTATTTTAATACCACTCTGTGGCGGTATTCTTTTCTTTGATATAACCATTTACTCCATTTTATTCATATTCAGATTATATTTTTAATTATACATTTAGTTTTAATTACATTGAAATTATTTGGACATTCTGGTACAGGTGTGCAACCACATCGTTCAGGGCATCCGAAAGGAAGCAGCCAAGATGAAAGAAGAATGGGAACATGCCCTTCAGCAAGACACCACCTCAGAAGAAGTGCATGGTTCTGATGTCTACTGCTTTGAGCTGGTGTCCATGGTTGTAGCTCTCAGCGGATCCTCCGTCGGAAGGAAGTACTTGGCCCAGCAGTGCCCTCTGATACAGGACCTGTTCAGTCTTCTGCACACTGCCACGCCAAGGATTCAAAGACAGGTAGGGGAAAAACCCACTGATGCTGACAGTATCTGGTATAGTGTCGGCCCCTAATGAGTGATGTGTGATTTATTCTTCCACGTAAATCCCTCTTCTGTTGTGGTTGCCCTAAAAAGGATGGTAGATGTGTAATGCTGTGGTTTACAGCTAGGCTTTTTGGTTTTACCATGCAATTTTTTTACTTGGTAGTTTGCCATTGCTATCTTGTAGTTGCGCCTATAGAGTCGGCTCAGAGAAGTGAGTAGTGTGTGGTGTGATTCTCTCTTACGCTTAAATCCCTCTTTTACTGCATTTGTCATAAAAAAAGGATGGTCGGCATATTGTACTGCGGTTTACACCTAGACTTTTTGGTCTTACTAGGCACTTTACACTCAGTAGTTTGCCATTGCTTTCTGAACATTCAGTGCAGTGTCTAAATCAGGGCAAAGATGTGGTCTGTGACACCAGATTGCCTGCAACTGGAATCAAATGGGTATTTTGGAATTACAAAGTGCGTTTGTAACACTTAAGCCATAGAAGCCGCCGAAGTAATAAACATCTCAGAAGTACTAATTGTATGAATCTTGGGTAGTTGGACGATTAGTGAACACATTTTTTGAAGCAGCACAGATGTGGTTTTATAGACGAATGATGAGAATACCCTGGACAGATTAAAAAGAGTAATTAAAATATCTTGAAACCCCCGTGTGGGTTTTGGGGCCCCATTGTGGGGAAAACAAGAATAGACCCACTGCCTCCCCAAAAGCATGTCGTAAGAGTCGACTAATTGGGGAGCTTCCTTTGAAGTCGGAGTGCATCTGCCGGAGAGGCAAGGAACCAACAGTCTGTATTCAAGAGAATGAGATCTGTAAAACTGATGCACATGCAACACTCAGGTTCTGGAGCAGGACTGCAGTTCAGTAGTGGACGAGCAACCAGAACTTTCCGCCAGAGTGTACAGCTGGTGAACGCGAAGAAGAAGAAGAAGAAAATATCTTGAAAGAAACTGACTCATCAGAAGAAGACAATCTACATTCTTTGCTCTTGTCATGGGAAAACTGGAGTACATCATGATGTTGGGAAAATTCGAAAAGAGGCAAAGGGAGACAGAGAGAAAGAGCAGATGCTGGACAGTCTGACATCATGGCATGGAAGAAAATCTCAGAATTTATCAGTGTCAAAGTTGATTGAAAGTACACGAGACAGAAGATTGCAGATAGACATGACTACCAGTGCCACATGGCATTTACTGCAAGAAGAGAAGAAGAAATACAAATGTTTCCTTTAAATTGTTCTGTTTGTTTGTTCTGTCCGTTGAGTAGCTTGTTTCTCCCTCCTGTAGATCACAGTCATCTTCCGGCGTGTGCTTCCCTGGGTGAAACCCCCACTACTGGCCACCATACTATCCATTCCATGCCTGCCCCCTCCAGACTACAACATTGTTGGAGCCTCCGAGTGTGACTCCACCTTTGACCCTGATGTCCCTGGCATTCTGGACGTGTTTCTGGCCTGTATCGCCAAGGCTCTCAGTGTACAGATGAAGATCAAGAGTTCGGGTCCCAATAAAGTCAGCACAACACTGACACTGTCCCAGTGTCTGGAAGATTCAGCAAGGTCAGTCATTTGACTTTCTTTTTTTTTTGTGTGTGTGTTTTTTGTTCACGCTTAAGAGTATGTTGGGCATGTAGTGTTGTAGCTCACAGCTAGGCTGCAGTATCTGTGTCCACCACATCTTATTTCAGCAAGTCCTTAATTGGTTGCCTTTTACAACATACTTGTTAAAGGGCAATAGCTCTGTTGGTGTTTCTTAAAAAATGGGCCCGCGGACCCCACATTTGTAATTTGACCATCTAAACTTTCCTGTTCTTTATCTAAGATATAGAGTAGTGTATCTCAGGGTTTTTTCTTCTTTGCATTCACCAGCTGTAAACTCCAGTGGAAAGTTCTGGTTGTTTATCCACTTCTGAACTTTAGTTCTGTTGCAGAATTTGAGTTCTGTATGTACATCCATTTTACAGGTATGACTTATTTGCATGCAGACTGTTGGTTCCTCGCGTCTTAGGCAGATGAATCTGACTTAGACACTACCTTTATAAGTTGCCTGTCATGACATGCTAGTTTTGGGGGGTCAGTGGGTCTGTCGGTTCTTTGTCTCCCCCCCCCCCCCCCCCCCACAGTGGAGCCCGAGAACCCACTCAGGGAAGGATGTCATATGATGATACTGAAAATTGAGTTGCAGGCTAGATTATAAATGAAGCTGGGCATGCAGACATTGATGGTACATCTGTTTGACTGTTACAGGTCTCCCCGCTGGTGGATGAGAGGCAAGATGGACGCTGGTCTGGCATCAAGTATCATGGAACTTATCAAAGACATGGCCGTGGTTAGTCAGTTGCTGTCACAACTGTCATTCAGTCAATTGTTGTCGCAACTGTCATTCAGTCAGTTGTCGCCACCATCATTCAGTCAGTTGTTGTTCCAGCTGTCATTGAGTCATTTGTTGCAACTATCATTTGTTGTCACAACAGTCGTTCAGTCATTTGTTGTCACAACTGTCATTCAGTCATTTGTTGTCACAGCTGTCATTCAGTAACTTGTCACAGCTGTCATTCAGTAACTTGTCACAACTGTCATTCAGTAACTTGTCACAACTGTCATTCAGTAACTTGTCACAACTGTCATTCAGTAACTTGTCACAACTGTCATTCAGTAACTTGTCACAACTGTCATTCAGTCACTTGTCACAACTGTCATTCAGTCACTTTTTACAACAATTATTTCCAGATGTTGGTTTCATTGTCACCTTTTTAGATGTATTTCAGTTCACCTTGACTTTTATATGGTGAAATAAATTAATCAGAAATTGACATCCCTTCACTCGGAGCATTCTCAAACTTGCTGCGACATCCCTCCGCTCAGAGCATTCCCACATGTGCTGCAACATCCCTTAACTCGAAGCATTCCCACACGTGCTGTGACATCCCTTCACTCAAAGCATTCCCACATGTGCTGTGACATCCCTTCACTCGGAGCATTCCCACACTTGCTGCAACATCACTTTACTGGAAGCATTCCCACACGTGCTGTGACATTCCTTCACTCGGAGCATTCCCACACGTGCTGTGACATCCCTTCACTCAAAGCATTCCCACACTTGACCCTTTACTGTGAGCATTCCCACATGTGCTGTGACATTCCTTCACTCGGAGCATTCCCACACTTGCTGCAACATCCCTTTACTGAGAGCATTCCCACATGTGATGTGACATCCCTTTACTGGGAACATTCCCACACGTGATGTGACATTCCTTCACTCCCACATGTGCTCTCTCCCGTTCCTCAGTGGCTAATTAAGGGATCCAATAAATGACGGTGGAAGCTGCGACCTGATTAGAAGCCATGATTTCACCTCTGAACATTGATAACCATCCAGACCCTATGCTTACCCCTGCTGACATTGTTATTGTTCATACATGTTAGGTTTGTTTTCACTGACCAGACCTTTCAGGCAGTGTGATTGCATTTGTTTATATTTGTTCAATGTTATTTTTGTGTCTGTCATTTGCGTATTTGATGGGATTACATCATTTCAGTTTTTTGTAAAAGGTTTTTTGTTTCTGTGATACACAGTGGTACGCATTACTTGCACCTTTTTTTTTTAAAGGTACAATTGTTTCCTATGGGGTCTCCATTGTCAAGCCATTTGTCTCTGTGCTCTCAAGGTTGAGGGGTCGTTCGCAGCTGCCTCGTTTGGTTCATAATTGCAGTTTTTACAGAGAGTCCCAGGGATCATCTCTGGAGCTACTGTGTTCATGCTTTGTGCGATGCTGTTCAGCAGCCGGCTAGCTGTTATGCAGAGAGAGACTGAGCCAAATTGGATCAAACCCGGTGCAATGAAATAGATCCTCTGGACTTTACGCTTTTATCATTTTTTGTTTCAGCGCTGCTGTAATAGATACTTTGTGATGAGCACCGACAGTTTATTTTTCCTAGAATAAGGTTCTGGGGAGTCGCCGTGGCGGAGTGACTAGACGCTCACCTGCAGATCGGAAGGTTGTGGGTTCGCTCCCTGGCGGAGCCGAACCTTTTTTTTTTTTTTCAGGTCGACCCAGCCTTGAGTGGGTACCGGTTGCAGTCCCGGGAAGTAAAGGCGACCGGCATGATGCTGACCACATCACCCATCTTGTGCCGATTGGTCTATAAAATACAGGTCTAGCCCTATATGCCCTATACGACTTAAGGTGTGGAAAAGGGACCTTTACTTATTACTTTTGTAAGGTTCTGATCTTTATTCAGGTAAGGTTTCATTGACCTGCAGCTTTCAAAAATTGTGAATTCTTTGAGCATAATTTTTAGGGCAGGTAACAACTTTCATGTAATTTGGTTGATTCTGCAGGGCAAGCTTTCTGAATCCTGGGCCACAAACACCAAGGCTGCCATTGCAGAAGCCATTCTCAACATGACCAAACTGGAGGAGCTACATCGGGATCCACAGACCTGTGTGAAAACTCCTACAGTAAGTTCCTGTGATTAAATCACTTCTTCGTTCTTCTCCTTCTTCTTTTGTTCACTTGAATTAAATTATCTATATCTGCAGTGTTGTCTTTAATATGAACTTCACGGTCTTAGCAGTCTGTAAAGTTTGGCTTCCACCTGTGTCTCTCTCTTGGCCAGTAATTTTGTCCGGAAATGTTGTATTTGGGACAGTCTTGGAGGATGTGATCTGTTGTCTAAGGTGTCAGTCCACATATGCACATGGCTGATTCACCTTCTTAGTTCTTATTCTCCAACGATCATTTTCTAAGCATTTCTTTTGGCATGAGTCTAAGCATGATGGTTAAGATTTGAAAATGACTAAATATGTGGCAGCTTTATAAAATTACAGTAACATAGCTGGATTTTTTTCTACATAGTTAATATAATTTATTGAATGTTAGGCACTTTGTTCTTACAATTTAATCTTGCCTGGATGTTGTTTAGCTATACCTAACTATAAACATAGGATATCGGTTTTGAATAAAACCAGATTGTTGTAGATTTCATATTTTTATTTACCGAAACAGTTTGCATTTTTTTTAAACAAATCATAGCTGTATTTATTGAAGAATCAGCTTTCAGAAACTGATTGTATGTTCATATACTAATTCTCATAATTATCTGTTATTTCATACGTCTGTTTCTAGCTGTGGCTTGCCCTGGCCTCCTTGTGTGTCCTAGACCAGGACCATGTGGACCGGTTGTCTTCGGGAGAATGGATGTCAAGTCCTGACCATCAGCACGGTCAGCCAAGGGTAGGTGTTTTCTGTCAGTGTGTGATCAGCTACTTTCTGCTGTAGTCAGTGTGTGTTCGGCTACTTTCTGCTGTAGTCACTTTGATATTGGTTGTTTTCAAAACAATGCTTTCCTGTTGCCAGTTTAATTAAGACTGGTACGAACAACAGTTACACACTGTGTACACTGCAGTTTATTCTTTGTTTCCGCATTATTTAAATAGGCTGTTTCACATTGTTATCACTAAGGTGAGGAAAAGTGTTCTCAATATCTGTATAGTGTGAATCCAAATATACGGAAGTAAATCATGGACAGTTGGGTGATTATTGAGAAAGTATGTGGAAACTGTAGAGATGTGGTTTTATAGCTAAAATGATGGCAACACTGAAAACATATGAAAAAGAGTATTGAAGATGTCTTGAAAGAAGTGGAGAACTGACTACCAACATCAGATGGAGACAGTCTACATTCTGTGGTCATGTGGTCATGAGAAAGCTGGAGTACATCGTGACAGTAGGGTAGTTAAAGGGGAAAAGAGGTACAGGTAGAGAAAAATGCTGGACAGTTTGACGTAGTGGCATGGAAGATCATCTGTATATCAGAAAATATAGAAAATATACGAGACGGAAGGCCATGACAGAAGATAGGCATAATTACCTACGCTACACAGCATGGACTGTAATGAGATCACTTTTTATGTTATCAGTTGTCTTTAGCTACCAATTGCTTGCTGTTATCAGTTGTCTTTAGCTACCAATTGCTTGCTGTTATCAGTTGTCTTTAGCTACCAATTGCTTGCTGTTATCAGTTGTCTTTAGCTACTAATTGCTTGCTGTTATCAGTTGTCTTTAGCTACCAATTGCTTGCTGTTATCAGTTGTCTTTAGCTACCAATTGCTTGCTGTTATCAGTTGTCTTTAGCTACCAATTGCTTGCTGTTATCAGTTGTCTTTAGCTACCAATTGCTTGCTGTTATCAGTTGTCTTTAGCTACCAATTGCTTGCTGTTATCAGTTGTCTTTAGCTACCAATTGCTTGCTGTTATCAGTTGTCTTTAGCTACCAATTGCTTGCTGTTATCAGTTGTCTTTAGCTACCAATTGCTTGCTGTTATCAGTTGTCTTTAGCTACCAATTGCTTGCTGTTATCAGTTGTCTTTAGCTACCAATTGCTTGCTGTTATCAGTTGTCTTTAGCTACCAATTGCTTGCTGTTATCAGTTGTCTTTAGCTACCAATTGCTTGCTGTTATCAGTTGTCTTTAGCTACCAATTGCTTGCTGTTATCAGTTGTCTTTAGCTACCAATTGCTTGCTGTTATCAGTTGTCTTTAGCTACCAATTGCTTGCTGTTATCAGTTGTCTTTAGCTACCAATTGCTTGCTGTTATCAGTTGTCTTTAGCTACCAATTGCTTGCTGTTATCAGTTGTCTTTAGCTACCAATTGCTTGCTGTTATCAGTTGTCTTTAGCTACCAATTGCTTGCTGTTATCAGTTGTCTTTAGCTACCAATTGCTTGCTGTTATCAGTTGTCTTTAGCTACCAATTGCTTGCTGTTATCAGTTGTCTTTAGCTACCAATTGCTTGCTGTTATCAGTTGTCTTTAGCTACCAATTGATTGCTGTTATCAGTTTCACTTATGGTTTTCTCTTATTATTTTTTTCTTTAATTGTAATATTTTCACTGTAAATCTTTTGTTCCTTGTTAGTTATTTAAACATTATAATTTTTTTTTCTTTCTGTTGTATTTTCTTATCAGTTTTGCATATCAACTGTTGTATGTTGTCAGTGTTCTATTCATCATTTATTTCTTGTAGCGGTCAGCCAAGAATGTACAAGATTGAACAAGCTCCACCATGTTTCTTCTAGCAACCAGAATTCTCTAATAAGAAGTTTAAAATCTTGAGAACGTTTATGGTTTGTTCGGATCTCTGACCCCCACAGCCCACCTGCGATAAAAATGAAACCAAAATACTCTAATATAGTTTAATATCTTGAGAATGTTTATGGTTGGTTCTGATCTCTGACCCCACAGCCCACCTGCGATAAAAATGAAACCAAAATACTCTAATATAGTTTATTATCTTGAGAATGTTTATGGTTGGTTCTGATCTCTGACCCCACAGCCCACCTGCGATAACCACGACGACTCCATCACACCAGCAATAATACTATGTTCCGACTGTGGGAATTTGTGTGCCGAGTGTGACCGCTTCCTGCACCTGCCCCGTCGCATGCGAGGCCACCAGAGACAGGTGAGGGGCTTTATTGTTGCGTCATCTTTGCCTTTGGTGATTTATGCTTTTGTTTTCAATATCATCAAGCAAGTTGATATGTTTAAGTACTTGGGTACCCTGATAACATCAGATGGAAGATGTATTAGGGAAGTTAAATGTTGAATGGCTCAAGCAAAGGCAGCATTTAACAAAATGAAGAATATTTTATGCAATCTTTCTTTGTCAATTGAGATGAGAAAGATAATTCTTAAAAGCTATATAAATCCTGTATTGATATACGGGTGTGAATCATGGACAGTTGGTACATTAGTGAAAACTTATTTGGAAGCTGTGGAGATGTGGTATTATAGACGAATGATGAGAATAGCCTGGACAAATAAAAAGAGAAAGAAAGAAATTGGCTCTCAAAGAGAGGGAGAAAACTGGAGTACATTGTTACAGTAGGAAAGTTGGATAGGAAGAGAGGCGGAGGGTTGTGGATAGACATGACTACCAACGCCACACGGCATGGACTCTAAGAGGAAGAGATCATTATAAAGTTAAGTACATTCTGATTCTTGGCACTTTTCCAGATGATAGTGTTATATAGCTAGGCGGAGGAATGGGAGTATAGTTCCTTCTCTCCATAGCCCAGAGCCTGGCTAGTAATTGTAGAGATCATGTGTTGCTTGTGCATCATGATCCCTCTGTCTGTCTGCTTTGTTTACTGCAAAGGAAGGTAACACCAATATGTCTTTATGTCTGAGCTTTCCTCCTGGACCAGCTGCCAGCCAAACCAAAGGGCCTGGTCTGCCCTGCCATAACATGAAGTTTTCAGGTTACATTTCCTCTTCCTAGGATAAAGCTAGTATGTTCCCCGAAGCGCTGCTCCGCCTGAAGCTGTTGCTACAATGTGGGATGTCAGAATTGGTATACGTCACCAAACATTCAGTGTCAACAGAAAACAGGAAGTACCAGCTGCTGTTATATGGTAGTTCAATTATATCTGACCACGACTTGACTACGTAATTACACTGCACTGTTTCATTAAGGCTGTTCCATGTATAGGTTCTGCTGCCCCAAATTTTGGCGAACTGCCCCATTAAGAGTCATGTTGTAAAAGGTGACTGATGATGGGTTTGCTAAAACTGGATGGTCAGGCCAAAAGGCGCAGACGTTGCAGCCTAGCTGTAAGCCACATTATAACATGCCAGCCATCCTTGTGAGTGTGAGCCTATGGCTCAGTCAGTAACTTCTCTGCCTAGTGGCACATGAGGCTTCAGAGAGGACTTTCCATGCCTTCCTGTCCTGTGCATTCTTCAGTGCAGTTTTCCATGTCAGAGATGCAGCACTCAGGTCACTTTCCATCGTTCATCTCCATGTTGTTTTTTGAGCGCCCCTTCTTTCTCTTTCCTCTGGTGTCCAAGTGAGAGCTGCTTTGGCAGGTATATCAGGATTTATTCTCATGATGTGGCCAAGCTATTTCCATCTTCTCTTTGTTATCATACTGTCTAGAGTTTCTTGGTTTGTGACTTGAAGTATTTTAATGTTTGAGATTGTATCGGGCCTGAAAATTTTAATAATTCTCCGTGGTGGAAGGTGGATAGCTTGTGCACATCCTTTTTTATGTGGCACAGTACATCTTGTTTTTATCCACATCCACCAACTGTAAACTGCGGTGGGGAAGTTCTAGTTCTTCTTTCATTTCTGGACTTCAGTCTTGTTCCAGAGTTTGTTTTTGTGTGCATTTCCTTTTAACAGATCTGGCTTATTTGTAAGCAAACTGTTGGTTCCTAGCCTCTCAGGCAGATGCACTCCGACTTTAAAGGAAACACCCGAATTAGTCATCTCCTACAACATGCTTGGTCAGGAGGAGTCAGTAAGCCTGGGAATCCACACCGGGAGCACAGTACACTGATATTTACCATGTGATAAGGTGCTTTGCATGGTCTCCACGATTACATTGTGGCAATCAGAAAGTCCGTGCAACAAGGGCGTCCACTAATGCGACCTCTCTCTGTCTGGGCCGAACTTCAACTGTCTTACTTCTGTCTCCCGGTTCACGTCTTCCATTCACATCCCATGCTTTTCTTGTGTCCCTCACTTTGCTCCCCATGAGATACACGAGACCCACTTATCCCGTTTTTCTCTTCTATCACTGGTCCTCCGACCTTGTCCTCCCCATCGGGAACTCTCTGGGATTTCCCCGAGAATTCACAACATTACATACCAGAATTATTTATTTTTTTAGTTTGCTATTGCTGGTTTGTGACTGTTTCCAGTCTGCCTACTGGCAGCTGATTTGTGTTTATGTTTGTATGGTCTCTGTTCCTGGTAATATAACCTGGTACATTATGTTTTATTGCTTTTATGGAGTCTGGGGCCCCAGTGTGGGAGAGGAAAAAATAGGCTCACACCCTCCCCTCCCCCTTCCCCCCAACAAGCTTGTCATAAAAATCAACTAATTAGTGGTATTTTCTTTGAAGTCTAAGTGCATCTGCTCGATCTATAACGCTGCTTTTGTATGCATATCCTTTTTACAATCTGGCTTATTTGTTCCTCGCCTCACAGACAGATGCGCTCCAACTTGGAAGGAGGCACCCATTTATTAGTCGACTTTTACTACATGTTTGTTGGTTGAGGGGGGGTGGACATGGGTCTATTCTTTTTCCCCCAAAATCATTGAACACTGTAGTTTTGATTGTTGTTGAAATCTGGTTGTCAGGTGGCATTCTTGTTGTGTTCCTGGCAGGTGTTTAAAGAGGAGGAGGAGGCCATCAAAGTTGACCTACATGAGGGTTGTGGGCGTATCAAGCTGTTCTGGGTCATGTCTCTGGTGGATTCTAGAACATTCAAGGCAATGGTGGAGTTTAGAGAAGGTGTGTATGTGTGATTGTGGCAAGTCTGAGACAATGTGTGCGTGTGATTAGGGCAAGTCTGAGACAGTGTGATTTTGGCAAGTCTGAGACAGTGTGTATGTGTGATTGTGGCAAGTCTGAGACAGTGTATACGTGTCATTGTGGCATGTTTGAGACAGTGTGTATGTGTGATTGTGGCAAGTCTGAGACAGTCTGTATGTGTGATTGTGGCAAGTCTGAGACAGTGTGTATGTGTGATTGTGGCAAGACTGAGACTGTGTGTGCATGTGATTGTGGCTAGTCAGAGAATGTGTGATTGTGGCTAGTCAGAGAATGTTTGATTGTGGCTTGTCAGAGAATGTTTGATTGTGGCTAGTCAGAGAATGTTTGATTGTGGCTAGTCAGAGAATGTTTGATTGTGGCTAGTCAGAGAATGTTTGATTGTGGCTAGTCAGAGAATGTGATATGCATGACTCTTGCTAGTCAGAGGCGTTGTGTGTGATTGTGGCTACTCAAAGAAGGTGTGTACATATGATTATGGCTAGTTTTGGAAGGTGTGTACATGTGGTTATGGCTAGTCAGAGAAGGTATGTACGTGTGATTGTGACAATGTATGCATGTAACTATAGCAAGTCAGAGATGTGTACATGTAATAACTGGCGAGTCCAAGAATATGATTACAGACAAGTAATTATTTCTAGCGGCATGATGCTGAGGTTAGATAATAATCAGAGCAAGTCAGAGAATATGTGTAATTTTAATTATGAGAGTTACCTGCACTGCATACATTGGATACAGAATCGTTGAGCTGTTAATGTTCACACATTTTCATCTGGCTGTTTTCGTTTGTGATTCTGTTTTCAGGCAAGGCATCCAATTCAACTATAGGACCTGGCACTTGTCGATTTTGTGGCCAAACCAGTAACACTGGCCTTCTGGCAATTGGCAATGTCTGCTCGGAGCCAGATTGCCAGGTAAGCAGTGACATGGTTGTCATAAATTTGATAAAAATCTTTTTTTTTTTTTTTTTTGGTGTATTTTTTATTAAAAACAAGTAACCATTGATATGACATGCTTTGTTGTCATTAAGTGCATCTCATTCTTTTCTTGTTTCTTATTTTTAACAAATGACCAGTGAAAATGTCAGTGAACAGATTACAAGTTTTGTAGCAAGGATCGGACATTACATTGAACATAAGCATCAGCAAGTAAATGGGCAAAATGGACCAAGACGGCGGCGTAAACAATGTTCGCCGAAAATTGTGACAAAAAGATGTGTTTGTTCATGGAGAGTATGTTAAATGGAAGAGAAGTAAAGATTTGTAATTTTCTGCTTCTTCTTCTTTTGTCCTACTGCTTATGCCATAAAGTATCACAAAGTGGAGTTAGCTGTAGATTCATGTCTTTTGCTAGTTGTGTAGCTTGTGTTAATGTCATATTGCTTATCTGTAGTGTCTCTTTTACTCCCTCCACCCATGTTTTTCTTGGTCAGCCTCTTGGCATGTAGCCTGTTGTTCTCTTGTAGTATGCTCTGGCTGATTTTTTTTTTTTATTCTGACCAGATGACTAAACCATTTGATTGTTTGATGTTCTATCAAATCATTTACCAGTACTATGCTTACTATTGCTGTTAGTTCTTCGTTGGGGACTGTGTCTCTTCTCTTTTTTTCCCTTGCAGCATTTCTTATACATCTCATTTCACATGTTGTAATTACCTGTGTAAGTTCCAGGGCCCTATTACAGGGAAAACAAGAATAGACCCACTGCCTATCTAAAAGCATGTCCTAGGAGTCGACTAACTAGGAGCTTCCTTCAAAGTTGGAGTGCATGTGCTTGAGAGGCAAGGAACCAGCAGTCTGCATACAAATGAGTCAGATCTGTAAAACGGATGCACATGCAACACTCAAGTTCTAGAACAGGACTGCAGTCTAGAAGTGGATGAACAACCAGAACTTTCCACCAGAGTTTACAGCTGGTGAACATAAATGAATGAACATGTTGTAATTTTGCATTTTATGTTTTTCAAGAAGTTTCTAGGACACAAAAATGTAACACAAAAAGTATGTAACGTTGTAGGAATTTTATCAAACTGTTATCACATACAAAGATACTTGATCGTTCACTGCAGGAGTTTGCCAAGAATGCATGTACAAAAATACTGCCCTGTGGTCATCTGTGTGGCGGCATAGCCAGAGAGGAGCCCTGTCTGCCGTGCTTGCACCGTTGCCGACCAGTGGACCAGGAGCGACTGAAGCAAGACGCTGACGACATGTGTATGATCTGCTTCACCGAAGCTCTGTCTGCTGCTCCAGCTATACAGGTAGGGCACCAGTTTTCATCTTCATCTTAGTCTTCTTCTTCTTTTTCTTCTTCTTTGCATTCACCGGCTTTAAACTCCGGCGGAAAGTTCTGGTTGTTTGTCCACTTCTGGACTGCAGTCCTCCTAATTCCAGAACCTGATTAATGCGTGTGCATAAGTTTGACAGATCTGACTAATTTGTATGCAGACTGTTGGTTCCTTGCTTCTCAGGCAGATGCACTTCGACTTCGAAGGAAGCTCTCAATTAGTCGACTCTTACGACATGCTTTTGGGTAGGCAGTGGGTCTATTCTTGTTTTCCCTATAAAAGGGCCCCGGAACCCACACGGGGGATCTTAGTATTCAATCAGGTAAGATGGATGCTTAGAATACCCACCATCCTCATGTAGCAGGTCCTTTTGCAGAACGTCGCTGTCATCACTGTCTGCCTGAAAGACACTCGGTCTCTCGCCAGCTCTCCTGCCTCGTGCACCTTCATATCCACTAGTCACATGTATCTATGCCCATCTTCGTGCTTGTGGACCCCTGCCCCTCCTTTCTGGTACACTGCCTTCAGGTATTATTTTTTTCTGATCCATCATGGCACTTCAAATGGCCAAAATATTTCAGCTTTACAAGACAAGATGCCGTTTATTAGCCAGTCATTCTTGATGTTTATATCTTTTGGAATATCAGTATTTCTTTAATGATGATGATGATTACGTTCAACCCCACCAGGACATCACACCGAGCTGAGCGATAAACACCCGGTGACACAAAGTGCCACCATTCAGATGAGGATCACCCGGGGACAGGTCCTAGAGACCCTGTTCAAGGTTGGGTTATAATAGGGTCGCCTGGTTACAGCCAGGGTGTGGCTTTAAAACAACAACAAAACTGTGTCCGACACTGGAACGCACAGTTAAATGATGCTTACAGTATTTCTTCTCTTCTTTGTCCATGGTGTTGTGAAAATCTTTCTGTGGCATTTCAACTCGATGGCTTCTTCCTTCTCTGTGATTGTCCGAGACTCACATCCATTTGTTGCTGTTTCTTCCTTCAGGTCTGAGCGATTGTGCAAGACCCACATCCATTTGTTGCTGTTTCTTCCTTCAGGTCTGGGCGATTGTCCAAAACCCACATCCGTTTGTTGCTGTTTCTTCCTTCAGGTCTGGGCGATTGTCCAAGACCCACATCCGTTTGTTGCTGTTTCTTCTTTCAGGTCTGGGCGATTGTCCACGACTCACATCCGTTAGTTGCTGTTTCTTCCTTCAGGTCTGGGCGATTGTCCAAGACTCACATCCATTTGTTGCTGTTTCTTCCTTCAGGTCTGGGCGATTGTCCACGACTCACATCCATGTGTTGCTGCAGGGAAGGTGCATGCACTCAGAATTTTAACTTTGGCTTCCTTGCTGGTGCTTAACCATAGACTTTTAATGCTGTCTATTTAGCTTCTATGATAAGTTTCTTGGAATAACGATGTGGTAGTTTCCCCTTGCTTTCCACATTCACATTGCATTTAGGCGGCAGGTCCTCAGCCTTTAGCTACCTTTTAGATTGCCAGTGAGTGCCCTGCTCTGCGATGCTCCTGCTAACAGCAGAGGGCAGCCCAAAGGTTTCCACTTATCCTGGTGGATATTCGGCTCCCATAGCACAGTGTGCTTCGAATATCCAGGAAAACCATTACATCACAGGGTGGTTGCTTCCCTTATTGTCCTGTTGTGGCATTATACATCACACAGGCTTCTTAATCTTGTTCTCTATTATGTGCAACCTTTTCTTCTTCTTCTTCATTAGCCCTCGAAAGGGTGATTGGCACAGTATGTTGTCGTTTGCAGCTAGGCTGCGGTATCTGTGCCTTTCAACCCAGCACATTCAGCTCTAGCAAGCCCTTTAATTAGTTGTCTTTTATAACATGCTTATTATCGAGTAGTAGGTCTTTTCCCTCCCACTGGCTCCTGAATCCACAAGGAATCTGTTCACTTCTTACCTCTGTGTTTTCATACATCATTTCATTCATACTGCCTCCAGTTTCATCACCATGTTATCTCACATCCAGTATTTCACAGCCACACAGAAGAAGAGACCACAGTTTTTCTTAATAATAATTCTCCTTTTCTTCTCCATGGGTATCAGGTAAGGGCCTGGGAAATAAAAGCGGCTGGCGAGATGCTGACCACATCACCCGCCACGTGCTAATTGGTCTATAAAACATGGGTCTAACCCAGTACGCCCTAAGGCGTGGAAAAGAGTCCTTTCCCTAATATTTTTTTCCTTCTTCAGCATTCTAAGCCATTGAAGTTCGTTGCCGCACTTATCACCCGCCTCCATTCTCTCTTGTCTTTTTCTTTCCAGTTCTTAGCTAGTATTTGTAGATCTGTCTGTTAATTATAAATCCCCACCATCTCCTGTTGTCTACACCCCCATTGAACTGTTTGGTGTAGATAGCTTTTGTCTTTCTGTTATCTCTCTCTCTCTCTGCCACAACCAAATCAGTCTAGTAACCTTCATGAGGCTGTTAATTGGTGGAGATTTCAACAGATGATTAATTTTGCTGCTGCTTCTCGTTTGATTGATCACTTTATCCCCTCTGGAATGCTATATCATCCTGAAATTAAAAAAATTGCATCGTCATTATCACCACCGCAGACATCACCATCATTAACCAAACTACAAACATCCTTACTATCATCATCTGTACCATCACAAACATCACCATCGTTAACCCTACCAAACTACAAACATCCTTACCATCATCATCTCTACCATCACAAACATCACCATCGTTAACTTGACCAAACTACAAACATCCTTACCATCATCATCTCTACCATCACAAACATCACCATTGTTAATCCGACCAAACTACAAACATCCTTACCATCCTTAATATCATTATCTCTACCACCACAAACATCACCATCGTTAATCCGACCAAACTACAAACATCCTTACCATCCTTGACATCATCATCTCTATACCACCACAAACATCACCACCATTAACCCGACCAAACTAGAAACATCCTTACCATTCTTAACATCATCATCTCTACCACCACAAACATCACCATCGTTAACCCGACCAAACTACAGACATCCATACCATCCTTGTTGTTGTTGTTGTTGTTATCGATCCAGCGGCGCATGAGCTTTCGCCCTTTGGCCCAATGCCATGTAGTGGAATTTGCATGTTTTCACAAGCTGTTCTTTTCCTCCGTACAAGGTGTTCCACTTGTCTGGTCTCGGAGGGAGTAGCGTTCTTCTTGTCTCACTGAGTTTTGGGCACTCAAAGAGATGGTGTTCAACAGTTTCGTAGGGGTAGTTACATAGCTGGCACTCTGGGGAGTGTTGTGGCTGTATTCTGTTTAGGTGTCCATTGAGTGGAGTATGTTGCGTTCTAAGTCTGAAGATGGTGGCCTGGTCCCTTCTTGTTAGATGGTTAATGCTGTCATTAGGATCAGGGCCAGACATATGTCTATAAACCTCTCTTCCAGTGTCTCCCATGGCCCATCTGTTCAACCAAGTCTCTTTGTTTATAGCTCTTATCAGTGTTTTTGCTGTCTGGAGGGTTGTCGCTGTAGGTGGTTGTTCTTGTGTTGCTCCTTTCTTTGCCAATCTGTCAGCTCTGTCATTACCTGGTGTGCCGGAGTGACCTGGAATCCACTGCATCACTATTCTGATGTTGTATGAGGTAATAAGATGATCGGCATCCAGGATTATCTTGGCTATGTCAGTTCTGCAGCGTTCATTGCCCTCCAGAGCTTGAAGGGCAGACATTGAATCTGTGAAGATGACAATATTTTGGACCTTTGAGGGGTAAACATCCATTACAGTCTTTAGGTGGTATACTGCTGTTTCCAGTGCAATTATTTCAGCTTCATAGTTTGAACAGAATTCCCCGCATGCATCAAAAATCTCTTCAACAGATCCATCGGGATAACCTATGTAGATTCCGTAACCTGCTTTAATGGTAGCTTTAAATGCTGATCCATCAGTATAGACATGTATCCATTCTTGGGGGTAAGAATCAACGGTCTTTAGTGATGAGTTCATAAGAGCGATTGGGTCGGACTGTTTGGTTTCCTCGCCTACCAATTTAGTTTGGACTTCTGGAGCTTTAAAGCGAGCATGTGGTGGTAGGTTTTTTGCAACATTCTGAATTCCTTGACGTCTTTCTGGGAGGTGGTATCTGTCCTGAATTTCATTTACACAGTGTAAAACCGATTTGTGCTTTATTCTTTGTTTGGATTCCCAGTTTTCTACAAGATGTCTATTAGGATGGTTACGATTTTTCCTAACGCATCTTTCATAAATTTCTAAAGTGGCTTTTTCTCTCCGCAACCCGAGGGGTTCCACATTTGTATGGATTTCACATGCAGCAGTTGGTGTAGACTGCATAGCTCCGCAGATTAATCGGAGGGCATTATTTTGTACTCTGTCAAGAGTCTCTAGGTTAGTTTTGGAACAAGTTGTAAGCAGTGAGTTGTTGTACTCTATCACAGAGCGAACATATCCTAGGTATAAGCCCCTCAGAGTTTCCTTGTCTGATCCCCATGATGTACCTGCAAGTCTCTTTAATAACTGTAACCGCCTCAATGCCTTATTCCTGATGTTTTCAATATGGTTCTTGAGGCTGAGCTGCGGGTCAAGTGTGACTCCAAGGTATGTGGGATGCTCTTCTTTCATCACTTGGTGTTTGTCTAACCTCAGGTTAATATTCTTCCTTTCTACTTGGTGGCTTTTGGTAAAGATTGTGTAGACCGTCTTTGCACAGTTAATCTTGAGTTTCCATCTTTGGCAGTAATCATGCAGTCTTCTAAGGTCTCCATTCAGTCTTTGGGCTCCACTTTCCACATTTTCATGACTCTGCCATATTGCTAGGTCATCAGCGTACAAGGCTTTTTCGGCCTTGATTTGTTCTGGCAGGTCATTGATAAAGATTAGGAATAGTGTACAGCTCAATGATGAGCCTTGTGGCAAGCCCTCCTCCAAGACTTCTTTAGAAGAGATTGCGTTGTGCATCTTAGTCTGGATTGTTCTATCTATCAGGAAGTATTTCACCCAGTTATACAATCTGCCATGTATTCCTATGCTCATCATCTTCATCAGGAGACCTTTTCTCCATACTCTGTCATAGGCCTGCTGGAGGTCGACAAAGACTGCCACTGTGTGTTTCTTATTCTGGAAGCCATCATGTATTCTTTGTGTCAGTCTGAACAGCTGGTCTTCTGTGCAGCTGTTGGTTCTGAAGCCTGCCTGTTCATGGCATAGAACACCAGAACTCTCAAGGAACCAATATAAGCGCCTGTTTATCATTCTTTCTGCAACTTTGCCCAAGCATGATGTTAAGGATATCGGGCGGTAGCTTTTGGGGTCATCTGGAGGCTTTTTGGTTTTAAGGATGGGGACGATATATGCATTCCTCCATGCCCTTGGAAGTTTGCTTGACCTCCAAGTTTTATTAATAAGCCTGAGAACTACTTCTCTCCCAGACCGGCCAAGATGTAGCAGCATTTCGTTGTGGATCTTATCTGGGCCTGGAGATTTTCTAGGTTTTAATTTCTTCAGGGCTTGCTCTAATTCATCCATGCTAAATTCATTTTTCAAAAAGGGAGTCGCTGGCTGTTGGAGCTCTCTCTTGTTTCTTCAACTGAGAGAGCTGTGTTCTATCGAGTTCTGACAGCTTACCTGCTCTGTTAACCGAGGCAAAATAATGATTGAAATGTTCTGCTTTCTTCTTGTCTTCAGTGATTGTCTTACTCCCATCTGTCACTGGTTTTGGGTTCACCCTTCTACTTTCTCCGGAGAGGTTTTTAACTAAAGTCCATGCTTTATTTCCATTCTGTCTAAGGTCTAAGTTGGAGCAAGTTTCTGTCCATTTATCTCTTAACCATACCATCCTTAACGTTGTCATCTCTACCACCACAAACATCACCATCATTAACCCGACCAAACTACAGACATCCTTACCATCCTTAACATCATCATCTCTACCACCACAAACACCAACACAAACATCACCATCGTTAACCCTACCAAACTACAAACACCCTTAACATCATCATCTCTACCACCACAAACATCACCATTGTTAACCCTAGCAAACTACAAACACCCTTAACATCATCATCTCTACCACCACAAGCATCACCATCGTTAACTTGACAAAACTACAAACACCCTTAACATCATCATCTCTACCACCACAAACATCACCATCGTTAACTTGACAAAACTACAAACATCCTTAACATCATCATCTCTACCACCACAAACATCACCATCGTTAACCCTAGCAAACTACAAACACCCTTAACATCGTCATCTCTACCACCACAAACATCACCATCGTTAACCCTACCAAACTACAAACACCCTTAACAACATCATCTCTACCACCACAAACATCACCATTCCCTAACAAACTACAAACATCCTTACCATCCTCAACATCATCATCTCTACCACCACACACAAAATACTAATGTCATCAACATGCCTACCATCACGATAATGTTTACAGAACTGAGGACAGCTGTAACAGCTGCTCCAGTCAGGTGTACACCCCCCGCAGTCGTATGTGAGTAATGATGTCCCCTTCTGCGCTGTTTGCATGTCTGATGGGTCCAAACATTTATCATAAGACTCGGTTCTCAAAAATTTGTAATAAGACTGCATCTCACATTTTCCTAAAAATAATCAGAATAATAGTAATTATACTTACAATAATAAAGTAGCTTAGCGCCCAGTGCATTCCATCTTTTCCATTCCTCTTCTCTCACTGTCCACAGATTGGTTCCATTGATGATTGGTTCCATTGATGTTCGGTTCCATTTATGTTCGGTTCCATTGATGATTGGTTCCATTGATGATTGGTTCCATTGATGATTGGTTCCATTCATGTTTGGCTCCATTCATGTTTGGCTCCATTCATGTTTGGTTCCATTCATGTTTGGTTCCATTCATGTTTGGTTCCATTGATGATTGGTTCCATGGATGATTGGTTCCATTGATGTTTGGTTCCATTCATGTTTGGTTCCATTCATGTTTGGTTCCATTCATGATTGGTTCCAGTGATGATTGGTTCCATTGATGATTGGTTCCATTCATGTTTGGTTCCATTCATGTTTGGTTCCATTCATGTTTGGTTCCATTGATGATTGGTTCCATTGATGATTGGTTCCATTGATGATTGGTTCCATTCATGTTTGGTTCCATTCATGGTTGGCTCCATTGATGTTTGGTTCCATTGATGTTTGGTTCCAGTGATGATTGGTTCCATTGATGATTGGTTCCATTCATGTTTGGTTCCATTGATGATTGGTTCCATTGATGTTTGGTTCCATTGATGTTTGGTTCCATTCATGATTGGTTCCATTCATGTTTGGTTCCATTGATGATTGGTTCCATTGATGTTTGGTTCCAGTGATGTTTGGTTCCATTGATGATTGGTTCCATTGATGATTGGTTCCATTCATGTTTGGTTCCATTGATGATTGGTTCCATTCATGTTTGGTTCCATTGATGTTTGGTTCCATTGATGTTTGGTTCCATTGATGATTTGTTCTATTGATGATTGGTTCCATTGATGATTGTTCCATTGATGTTTCTCCTCTATAAATGAATAAAGAATGTATTGACATCCCCCAGCTGGCCTGCTCCCACGTGTTCCATCTACACTGTACCAAGATGGTGCTGACCAAGAGATATGCAGGAGCCAGGATCGCCTTTGGATTTTCCTTGTGTCCCATTTGCAAGGTGAGAAACGTCCGCTCTGTGTGTGTGTGTGTGTGTGTGCGTGCATGCGTGCGTGCGAAGCAAGCGCGCGCGCGCGCGCGCACACGCATTGGTGTGTGAACATTTTTCAGTGCCAGCAGCTAGGAATTGGGAGGAAATAACTCTGGCAACACAATCACTAGTGTGTGACTTCTACAGAGTAAAGTTCCCTTCTCATGTCTTTGGCGCATCAGACCAGTCATCACTCAACGTGTGATAAGGTCACCCTCACAGCAGCTGCCTCTACTTCCCAGGACATTGCCCGGTACCTATTTTAGGCTGGATCTACCTGGTAACTAAGGTGAATTTTGAAGGAAATCTCTACCTTGATATGGGTTTGAACACTTGACCTTTGAGTCTGCAGGCTTTCATATATATATTTACACACACACATACATACATATCAGATGTTCATACAGTGCCCTGTCCTCAATCTAAACATTTCTCAGTTATTCGAAAATTGTCCTATGCCTAAACATTCCAGTTTTTCATACATTGCCCTATCTTCAGTGTAAACATTTCTCTAACGTTCATATAGTCCTGTAGTCATCTAAACATTTCCCAAATGTTCATACAGTGAAATATCCCTAACCTAAACATTTCTCAAGTTTGTATACACTGAACTATATGCCTAAAAATTTCCCAGATATATGTAACTATCCCTAATCTAAACATATCTCAGGTGTTCATACATTGAACTATCCCTAACCTGAACATTTCCCAGATGTTTATACATGGAACTATCCCTAACCTAAACATTTCCCAGATGTTCATACATGGAATGATCCCTAAACTAAACATTTCCCAGATGTTCATACATGGAACTATCCCTAAACATTTCCCAGATGTTCATATATGGAACTATCCCTAATCTAAACATGTCTCAGGTGTTCATACATTGAACTATCCCTAACTAAACATTTCCCAGATGTTCATACATGGAATTATCCCTAAACATTTCCCAGATGTTCATATATGGAACTATCCCTAATCTAGACATATCTCAGGTGTTCATACATTGAACTATCTCTAACCTAAACATTTCCCAGATGTTCATATATGCAACTATCCCTAATCTAAACATTTCCCAGATGTTCATATATGGAACTATCCCTAATCTAAACATATCTCAGATGTTCATACATTGAACTATCCCTAACCAAAACATTTCTCAGATGTCCATACATTGAATTATGCCCTCAGACCAGCATTGAACACCCAGCCCTGAAGGCCCTGCTGGACCCGATCCGAAACCTGAAGGCTGACGTCAAGAGGAAGGCCCTCATGAGGCTGGAGTACGAAGGCTTGGACAAGGCTGAAGCAATCTTGACCCCGGGTGCCCGGTTCTACCAGGACCCAGCCGGTTTTGCAATGGAAAGATATGCCTATTATGTCTGCTTCAAGTGCAAAAAGGTGAGTACCAGCTTACTGGGATTTGTGGTTCCTCTTTGTTGTTGACTTCCTCTTTCACAGATTCCGGTTTCTAGGGAGATACGAGGTTCTTGCTCGTCTGACTTTAAACATAGACACATCGTACTGACAAGGTTTTTGCTCGTCTGACTTCAAACATAGACACACCTTACTGAAGTATTTTCTCTTCGTTGTTGACGTCCTCTTTCACAGGTTCGGGTTTCTAGGGAGATACCAGTTTCTTGCTCGTCCAACCTCAAACATAGAAACATCGTACTGAAGCAGTTTCTGTGGTGTTTTCTTTCCATCTTGTTACTGGTCAACCTACTAACCTGTACATTCCATGATCACTGCACCAGCCGTGTGGTATTAGATCCTCGGGTTCATGACCCCTTGTCACACATCGCCCTAAAGTGTGGTAGATACAGGCAGTGAGGACATTTTTATCTCAAAAGTGTTTATCTAGGTACTTAATTGTTATGGGCATGTTAAATGAAGGAAAGGGCTTGAGAACTTGGTGACAACTGGAAAGGTTGATGGAAAAGAGCAAGAGGGAGGCAAAGAGATAAATACCTGGGAGGTCTGGCCAGATGGATAGGGCGAGACGGAGACATTGAACTGATACGTGATTCTGAAGATCGTGTGGGATGGCAAAACATGACTGCCTATGCTTACCGGCACATGATGATGATTATGAAAATGTTGCTGCAGTATTGTATCTGTAGGCGTCCTTAATTTGTAATTGCTATATTTCTAGGCCTTGACCATTGTGAGGTTGATCACATCACAACCAAGTGCCAGTTGGTCTTTAAAATATAGGTTGAGCCCTATGTGCTACTAACATTGGAAGACGTGGAAAATGGTGCTTAAATTTTTTTTTTTTTTTTTTAACTTTACTACATTTCTAGGCCTACTACGGAGGTGAAGCCAGGTGCGATGAAGCTATTGGTGGCAACGACGACTTTGACCCCTCCGAGCTGGTCTGCGGAGCCTGCTCTGACGTCTCCCGTGCCCAGATGTGTGCCAAACACGGTGCTGACTTCCTGGAGTACAAGTGCCGCTACTGCTGTTCGGTGGCTGTGTTTTTCTGCTTTGGCACCACCCATTTCTGTAATCCATGCCACGAAGAGTTCCAGCGGGTCACGGCCATACCCAAGAAAGATCTTCCACATTGTCCTGCAGGTGAGGAGCAACGTCTGCTGTTGACTGGTTGGGGTTTGCTTGCGAATGGTATTCTTCTTCAGTGATCTTTTTCATCAGCAGTAATCTTCTTCTTCTTCAATGATCTTCCTCTCTTATTTGTCCCTTCTTCTTCTTTTTCTTCTTCTTCAGTGATCTTCTTCTGCTTCTTCATCATCAGCAATAATCTTCTTCTTTTTTTCCCTTTCTTCTTATTCATCTCCCCTCCTTCTTCTTCTTCATCAAACTTCATCTTTTTCAATAGTCTTCGTCTTTTACTCCTCCCCCCCCTCCTCCTCTTTCTCTTCTTCTTCCTCTTTTTCTTCTTCTTTAGTGATTTTCTTCTTTTTCAGTGATCTTCTTCTTCTTCTGTGATCTTTTTTTCTTCAGTGATTTTCTTCTTCAGTGATCTTTTTCTTCTTCACTGATCTTTTTCTTCTTCACTGATCTTTTTCTTCTTCACTGATCTTTTTCTTCTTCAGTGATCTTTTTCTTCTTCTGTGATCTTTTTTTTTCTTCTGTGGTCTTTTTCTTCTTCTGTGATCTTCTTCTTCTTCAGTGATCTTTTTTTTCTTCTGTAATCTTCTTTTTCTTCTGTGATCTTCTTCTTTCTTCTTCATCTTCAGTGATCTTCTTACTTTTTCATCTTCTTTTTCTTCAGTGATCTTCTTCTTCTTCTTACTTCCTCTTCTTGAGAAGAGATGATGGTAGAGATGATGGTAAGGATGTTTGTAGTGTGGGTTAGATGATGATAGTGATCGTATGTTGGGGTGTAGTGGTGATATCATGATAACAGTTCATATTGATAATGATTATGATGATGATAATACAGTGCAGACCGCTTAGTGGCAAATTTCTCTTATGAAGAACTACTTGTTTATCCCTGGCAATTTTTCTTGCTTGAACTTTTATCTGGATAAGAGACATTTCTGATAAGAAGAACAATTTTTGGGGTCACGGTGAGTTCTCCTTATCAGGTCTGTACTGTATTTATTTATCGTGGAAGCGACTACACCCACAGTTTCCTATATCTACCATAAACTTGTTTGCAGGACCCAAGGGAGTGCAGCTGGAAGGGGAAGAGTGTCCTCTGCACGTTGTTCACCCACCCACGGGAGAAGAATTTGCCTTGGGATGTGGTGTTTGCCGCAACGCTCACACCTTCTAGTCTGCAACTCCAGGCAGAGGCAGATTTCCCAGGAGTGCGGAGTCGTAGATATCTCCTCCACAACTGGCATCAGCCACTCAAGCAACAGCCAACACACATTTGTACGCTGACGGGGAATGTTTGTTTCTCTTTGGCCCGCAGGAGGCGGGGGGGAAATGGCCAGTCTTGTTCATCTTTGCTGGCAGTGGAATCAGTTACAGAAAATATGTATGTTGCCAGATAAGCTGTACAAGTAACGCGTTTGTATTATCTAAAATTAGGTTTGTGACCTCGTAACCTTTAACCTGACCTTAGCCTGATATTGTAACTAATTTGGTAGAAATAATAAATAATAAATTATGTGACTACAAAGTCACAGTATTTTTAGTTAAATCAAATTGTCAGGTTTTTTTTTTTTTTTAAAGATACTTTTAATAAGTTAGATTATGCATCAAATATGTGTGTTTTTTGTTAGGATTCATTTTTGTGTTGTTGAATTAAGACTGTTCTGGACTGCATTTTTGAGAACACAGAATGGACCCACTGACCTCTATAGCAAGCACATTGTTGGAAGTAACTAATTAGGAGTAGTAGTTTGTTTTAAGTCAGAGTGCATCTGCCTGAGATGCTAGGAACCAGCAGTCTGCATGCAAAAATGTCATGTCTGTTGAATAGATGTGCACGCAATACTTAGATTCTGTTTCAGGACCAAAGTCCAGGAGTGGATGAACAACCAGAGTTTATACGAAGTAGTAGAATAAAGACAACTCAATTTATAATTATCTGGCACCACCAGTGACCTTTTTAAAAGACTTCACCAACAGAATCAGTGAACTGAAAATTGTATACAAGATGTTGATTATTTCTGAAATCTTATAAACTATAATGTCTATTTTTATGTGGTCAGATGCGTGTTGACTTTGAAGGAGACGCCCCTAATTAGTCGACTTGTATGATTTGCTTTTTAGAGGGCAGAGGTTCTATTCTTTTGTCCCCAGAAATGAAGCCGCGGAATCCACAGGGGAAATAGCCTGGTATTATTATTATTATCTGTTGTAGACTTGTAATGCTGTGTGTACTTGTTAAATTCTTTGTATGTACTCTCTCCATCTTTGACTACCTGGGAATTGTTATTCCCATTTAACTAACATGACTATAAATGTACCCCATTTTTTTTTTTTTTTTTTTTTTTTTTGGTCAAAACTTATGTACCTGTAGTAACCTCCCTGCTTGCTATCATGGTGTTCTTGAGTTTGATCCCTCCAGGAGCCACGGTGGTGTGTCCTAGATGGCGTTTGTTTTATTGTTAAATCGCAAGTAATTCTTTATTCTTTTAATATTTCAATAGTTGTTTCAGATTTCTGTAATGTTTTACTCCCAAATTATAAAAATGTTACTATTGATAACTTTATGTTGTATTGTTGGCATTTTTTGTATTATGTACAAACATGTAAGAGATGTTTTTCTTGATTAATATGTAATATTTTCACAAACAAGCTGGTTTGAGAACAAGAATAGTATCTGAAAACACAAATCAATAGGAATGAAGCTTTACGTGCAGACAGACAGTGCAGAGGGAAACGCTGACAAAATTTGTTCATTATTATTTTCTGTTTTGAAGGCATTGTCAGTAGCTGTTTGTTTAGCAATGGTTCCCTCCAAATATTTTGAAATTAGAAGTAAACTGGTTTTTTTAGAAATACTAACCTGTAACTGGATTTTAAAAGAATATTTTGTGTGTGTTACTTTTTTCATTTTGTTTATTCATTCTGATTATAACTTTGAATTTTGCAGGAATAATCATGCAAAATCTTTCTTTCTGACAATCCTTGATTTTCTTTCTTTCATTCTTTTACTTTTTAATTGTCATACAGAAACTCCAGAATGAGTATTCACGTCTTATGTTATTCTGAGGAGGGAGAATACTTTTGTAACCACTTTCTGCTGCATTAAGTTTTAGTTGTGTAGGAAAACTCTGACTATTCCATTATTATGTATGTCATTTATGCAGATGAAGTGAACGATTGTGTCAGATGTATCCATTACATTTCTGTTCTGATATTTTATGTCAGAGACAGACAAAGAAAATTTCTAAAAATGCTGCCATTGTCTTTTATGTTCCTGTTTCCAAGTTTATAAAGTGTCCCCTTGTGCTGATGTAGAGAAATCACAACAGCAGATCTTGAGTTAATTAGCCCACCCAAGTGGGACAGTAGGTTTCTTTCTAACTGTAGGATATATCTTTTCTATACCCTTTTCATGTCACTGGATACAGAATGCATCCACATATGATCTCCTTTACTGCAGGTCTGCTGCCTTTGTGCCCATGGTACCCCATGTCGTTTTGCCTTCTTTTATTTCCCTTTCTACTGTCCCTCAAGTTTCCTTATCAATTCCAGCGTTCAGAAGGGGCTTTTGTGGGGGAGGGGGGAATTCACAGTTAGGTCGTTGGCCTCTTTTTGGCTTTGATCATCAGTCATAATTTCTCCAATTGTATGGCTATTTTCACCACTTTCATGCACAGAGATGAATACCCGGATGGCTTGGCTTAAACAAGAGCTCTGACCTGATCCCAGATCCTGGTGTAATTGGTGAAGCATGACCACTTGAGCTTATCAACAGGGCACATGATGATGGTTTGATGTACAGTGTACAGATACTTGCATGGGCTTCATTATTTAGACTTTGCCTACCCCTGGCCAAAGAGTTTGTTCTTGATATACATAGTTTTGATAATTCTTTGGCGTTGTGTTCTCGTTTGGTCCGGCATGTAACAATTCTTTTCTGTGATAATGCTGCGTGTTCGTTGAGCTGAACAGATTAAAGTCACTTGGAAGAATGTTACCTCCTGTGTTTGCTTGTTGACTTGAGTATTCAATCAAACCAGTTTCCCAGTTAATCAAAAAAATATAGATTAAGCTCTATTTGGTCAAGAAAATATGGATCCAGAACTGTATTCCCTATATAATCAAGAAAATATCAGTGTAGCACCTATAACAAAAATATGGATCTAGCATGTATTTCCCATCACTCACCAAAAAAATGGATCTAGCCCTGTATTCCCCATCAGTAAAAAAAAAATATGAATCTAACATTATTCCCCCATCAATAAAAAAAACACATTGGGTCTAGCCCAGTTAGCTAGCTAGCTAGTAAGTTGGGTTATCATCATTGCACTCTGGACATGTCCATAGGTGCTCAGATCCTCCCCTCAGTATGAACCCCAACGTCCGATGGCTAATAGTACCAGTTCTAAGTTGATTAACAAGTCTTCAGGCGTGTGTCTCGTTTTTTGCTGTGCCGATCTTAATTTCCAAGTCTGCCATTCTGGCGAGTGATGTGGATTCACTGCCCCCAAAGTCCTCTACCCTTCCCATTTCTCTGAGGGCATTAATAATATCAGCATGATCCGTCAGTAGTGATAGGGGATGTAGCATTAATAGCTAGTCCATATAATCAAGAAAATATGGATCTAGCACTATATTCTCCATTAATTTTTAAAAAAATAATCATTTAGCATTCTATTCTTCACTTGATCACCAAAAATATGCATTTAGCATTCTATTCTTCACTTGATCACCAAAAATAATCATTTAGCATTCTATTCTTCACTTGATCACCAAAAATATGGATCTAGCACAATATTCCCCATTAATCAAGAAAATTTGGATTTATCACTATATCCCCTCTTATTCAAGAAACTATGGATCTAGTATTATATTCCCCATCTGTTCACAAAAATTGGGATCTAGCACTGTATACCTAATTAATCAAGAAAATATGCATCTAGCATTATATTCTCCATTAATCAAGAAACTATAGATCTAGCACTATATTCCCCCATTAATCAGGAAATTGTGGATTTAGCATTCTATTTATTACCCATTAATCAGGAAAATACTGATCTGGCATTATATTCCCACTATACACAATGGGGTAAAATGGAATCCGTTCCACCCTACAATCTATTGTTGTGTCCCAAGACAAGGGCAGAATGTAAGGGTCTGCATGCCCAGCTTTTCTACCCCTCTGAAAATAGTTTAGTTGATTTTTGTGATAACTTGTAGAAAAACAAGTTAGTGACAGGAAATTACATGCAAAGAAAGAAGATATGCCACTCAACTCCTACATAAGGACACCGAGATAGTGTCTGCATTGGAGACAGGGCACAAACAGCTCAGCCCGATGTGCTAGGCTGTCGATACAGACAATAAGCAAGCAAGCAAACTTCTTTGCGTCTACCAGCTGTAAACTCTGGTGGAAAGTTCTGGTTGTTCATCCACTTCTGGACTGCAGTCCTGTTCCAGAACCTGAGTGATGTGTGTGCATCAGTTTTACAGATCTGACTCATTTGTATGCAGACTGCTGGTTCCTTGCCTCTCAGGCAGATGCACTCTGACTTCAAAGGAAGCTACCACTCTTACGACATGCTTTTGGGTAGGCAGTGAGACTATTCTTGTTTTCCCCATAATAAGGCCCCAGAACCTACATGGGGAAAGCAAGCAAATAATATGACATGTCAAGAGAGAGAATACAAATCACAGATAAACTGATGACAAATGTTTTAATCATGACATCAAATTTTGATAGCACACCAGATTTTCATAACAACATCAACAAGAAAAAAGCATATGTACATATTTCACACACACAACCAGGCCTGGAGAATGTAACTTGAGAAGTTTACTGTTTCTAATGTGTACTGCCTGTGTCACCACATTTAGTGCAGTGTTATTTTATGTGGACTCATTACATTCTGCATACTGTCATTACATTCTGCATACTGTCATTAAATTTTGTGTAATTTCATTACATTCTGCATACTGTCATTACATTCCGAGTCCTGTAGCTACATTCCGAGTCCTGTAGCTACATTCCGAGTCCTGTAGCTACATTCCGAGTCCTGTAGCTACATTCAGTGGACTGATTACATACTGTGCACTGTCTCTACCTACCTACTGTGCACTGTCTCTACCTACCTACTGTGCACTGTCTCTACCTACCTTCTGTGCACTGTCTCT